TCACTCCATCTCCAACAGTGGCGCCACTTCCTCCAACTCCGGCGTCATCCGGATATGTGGGCTTGAGGGAGTCGCCAGTAAGTGCACATCCCTCCCATCCAGCCTCGGCATTCGCCGGCGGAACGGGAGAGAAACAAGGAGACGGCAAGAAGAACTTAGAGGTGGGAGAGGCTGTATTAGGACGAAGTTGCAGAGTCAACAAATCGTTGTTTTGAGATTTTGGACTCAGCCGGTAACTTCCGGCGGAGCCCAAAACGGCAGTTAGGGATTCGGCAACGTTTTGCATGCCGGTCACGTGGATTTCCAAATTGGGCGCAACAGGCGGCAGCAACAATTCTGAGAGCAAAGGTGGGGGGTTATCTTTTGTGCCCCGGTTTCTGGGGTTATTTATACCATAGGGAGTAGGTATAAAATCAAATTGAGGGCCTAGTACATTGACATCATGGGTGATGTCATATTTTTCTCGAACTTTCTGGTTGTTGGTAGAACTTTGATTATGTAATCCCAAAACATCGGCCAAAAATGCAAAATTCTCATTATTTAGGGAATTTCCCATTAATTCAGCCATGCTAAGTAAAGATAAGTCTGTATCATTTAATTCTGGCTCATTATCAATGGCCATTTCATCTCCAAAAATTAGGTAACTGCTAGGGAGTCTTGAACCATACCAAGTTGATGGTTCAAATACCCACTCGGGATTAATACCATCAGGGGTACATAGCAATTCATGTGTAATGTGAAGATTATGCGGGTCTTTAAATACGAGCCATGTTCCATCTTGTCTTTCATCAATGCTAACATAGTTCCCGCGTTGCCACGGTCTTCCTAATAGCAAATTGAAGGGTACATGGTCACCTACATAAAGATTTGCTTTGGTTTGGACTGCTCCACAAGTAAGTGGAACATTCTCAACTAAGCCTTGTAATTTTCCTTCGCCTCCATTAGCATCGTTCATAGAGATGCTTCTTCCTACGTCAATGGGGCGGTTAATCTGAGCTTTCCAAACTTGTCGGCTCACTATATTGAGCTGACTTCCAGTATCAATTATAGCATTGATGGGTTCTCCATCACAATACATTGTCATCCTGATCAATAAGCCACGGGTCTTGCTCCAAATCGAGTGAGCTTGGGCTTTTTCTATAACAACTGGCTTTGGCTTTATAGCATTGGCTAAAATTCCTGACAACTCACGGGATGATCCAAGAATTTCACCAACTTCTAAAGAGATTGGAGTCCTAAGGACTGACTCCAAAACTTTTTCAGGTTTAGCACGCACTGCTAAATCGGAGATACGACGATGTGTAATCTTTTGATTAGGACTCGTGTTTTCCTTTTCACCAGGGTCTGCTTTCTTTTTGTCTTCCTTAGCCAAACTTGGCTTAGGAAGTGGCACATCTTCCATGATTATGTCATCATTATTTTCATCATAATCTGGATTAATACGAGCTTTCTGCTTATCAATATTAGCCCTTTCACTCCTTGTTAGTGGTCCGGGTCTTTCTTTGATAATGGGTTCCTTCTTTGATGCAGGAGCTGGCTTTGATCGCGGGGCAGTCATAGGTTTATTCCCTATCACATTTTCCTTTCCCTTTGATCCAGTCTCCTGATCACGTACATTTTTCTTGGTAGGGGGAAAGACTCCGTCAAAGCGTTCTCGTCTAGCTTTGGCAGCGGTCTTTATGGTTCTTTCTGCTGGATATACATAATAGTCTTCTTCGTCACTTTCATCGCCATATGCAGGGATCATAAATGCATCATTGTCGCTATCACTTTCTTCATCTTCTTCCTCGTCACTAGAGATATCATCAACTCTAGTCCTCCTGCTCCTTATCACATTGCTAGTCAAAGACTCCCGATTGACCTCATCGGGTCTAATAGCAACAAAGTGTGACATGGGAGCTGCTTCCCTATTAAGTGCTTCAATGACTGTTTCCTCCGGCATACGTCTGACTGCATTCCCATTAGGGTGTTGAATTTGTCTCTTTTCATTCCTCTTGATCCTTCCTTCAGCTTCTAGCTTGGCAAGGTGAGGGCAAATGGGGAGAGTATGTCCTATCTCTCCACATCCAAAACAAATCCTATTCTGAAATGGTGTTCCTTGTGGTTGGTAAAATCTGGAACCAGGTTGGGGTTGAGGTCTCCTTTGACCATATCCTCTTCCACCACCATTACTGGGAGTAGCATTCAATTTAGAACCTTGTAAGTCAGGAGACATTCCTGCACCAGCTCTGGGAGGGGGTGGAGAAATAATCTGCATGACTCTTGGGTCTAACTTAGTAACACGATAATACAAAAGAGCATACTGAGGATCCTCAAGTGACATGATATTGAGCTGCTTGATCAGATCCTCAATCTCATCACGTGGTTCCGTACTTATAGCTTCCTTGTTAGCCTTGGCTTTCTTGGAGGTTTCCATAGGAGTTGTTGTGCCAGAATGTCTGTCCTTATGTCTAGGAGTTTCTTTAGCAACATGTCGCTTCTTCGAACCTTTCTTAGTAGATTTGCGAGGTTTAATCTCTGCCTCATCATCTGAATCAGATGACTCCTCGCTTGAAGTCAAGGATGATTCAGTAGAGTCAGAGTCCTCAGAGTCCGAAGATGAGAGATCAGTCTCTTCCTCGGAGATAAGCAGATCTGAATCGAAACGGTCCCTGTGAAGTAGCTTCTCTGCAGCTGAGATAACTTTATCCACGCCAAATGCCTTGGATAAATCCTTGTCAGGTTCCTTAGCCATAAGTCTACTTTCAATCTTAGCACGCAAATTCTTATAAATTCCTTTCCAAAAATAACCTGCATACTCATCTGCTGAAATCTTCTTTGCAGTTTGAAGCCAACCTGCAATCCTAATAAATCCTCGTACATACTTCTTCCATGCTGCTAGAGTGGGAATACGTTGTCCCCTCATAGCCTTAACATAGGAGAGTAAATCCTTTCTTTTATAACGCTTTGTGTCCAAATCAGCGTCATAATACTTTAGAATGTCTGCCTTGAGAGCATTCCAATCGGCTTTCTCATATGAGTCCAGTCCTTCAATGAACTCGGTGACATGACGTGAAGTATACTGGGTAATAGTTTCACATCTGTCCTTGTCAGTGGTGACTTGGTTATAGTCACATAACTTTTCATAATGCTTGACAAACTTTTTGACTTCTGTAAAGTCTCCTTTAAACTTCTTGGGAGCTGCCTTACTCCCGGGGATAGGCATAGTAAGAATAGAGTGTGTCATCATAGGCAGTGTTGATGGTGACATAGTTAACTGTGTGGTTAAGATAGATGCTGGGGAAATTGTCGTGGACAATTTGGTTACCTGGTGTGTTGGATTCTGAATGGTTACGTTTGGATAGTACTCTGAATACGAGTAGTTTCAATAAGAAATCAAGAAGAAGCCTCCCTCGCGGTTGGGCTCCAGTGATGTCTTAATAACCGAGGGTCTTATATGAAAACGTGTAAGAATGTAATGACACCACAATTACACTGGATAAGACTTCTTGCCAGTCCTCGATTAACACGGTCTACGACTTTTCTTCTTTCGTGGTAGATAACGTGTGAGTTCTTGGGAGGCTCGCTAAACCAATCAGTCAGATTAACTTAGCCGGAGCTTTATTATCTCTGATTGAAACTATGGGATTGTCTAGGATATACCGTCTAGACACTTGAACTGGTTTCCTGAATATACGGTTAACTGTTGAGAAGCTGGTCTCAAATGTGACTACGTGGACCAAAGCTCGTGTTGGTCAATATACAAATACCTGGTGAGAACGCTGGTCTCACAAATAACAACAAATGACAAATAGAAAACAATGACAAATAACAACAATGACCAAAGCTCGTGTTGGTCAGTATACAAATACCTGGTGAGAACGCTGGTCTCACAAATAACAACGGTGACCAAAGCTCGTGTTGGTCAGTAAACACTACGTGGTGAGAACACTGGTCTCACAAAACTGGGTTTCTATCGCGAGAAACTTACGTAATCTCAAGGGAAACACTTTCCCTGCACTTGCCTGGACAGTTCTTACAAAGGAAATGGGCTTTGTAAGCAGCAATTTGTTCAGACTGAAGCTTCTTAGGTGAGAGTTCAATTTGCTCAAGTGGGAGTTCTTGAATGCAACAAGTGGGAGATCTATTTTTTGGGGGAGAATGGGCTCTCCTTATATACATTTTGTGTGGGAATATTATGTAAGTAAAAAGGTGATGTAATGACTTCAGAATGTGAGAAGAATATTCCAAAAACTGGAGCAGAATGTTCTAGCAGGTGCAAAAGAACATTCCAGAATATTCATGGTGGGATAATGACATCATTCTGAGTCACTATGAGTCACTATGAGTCATTATGAGTCATTGGAATGTTCTAGCAAATTCCATGGAACATGACATCATTATGACATCACTATGATATCATATCTTTCAACCAAAATACCTGCAGGAGTGTAGGTGAAGTCCTATGACATCATTATGACATCATACCCTGTAGGTACAATTTTATGAAGCATCTGATTAGTCAGAGCATCCTAATAGAAAAGCTAAAGTAAAGAAACACTAGAGAAAACAACTCAGAAATAATGGAACAAATAATAGTACACAATACGCGGGCTTTTTAGATAGGTTTTTGTTAGGCTTTGAACTTTTCTCTATGGGTTTCTCTAGCCAAAGTGAATAAGCCAAATGAAAGGCAATACATTAACCTTCATTTTGCTTCTCATATCAACTAGGTCATTATGTGATTCCCATCTCACATATGACTTTTCTTCAAAACATGGTGGATTCATGAATCGCTGAGGGAAAACTGAAACTATTGGACCAAGGTTTGATACCAAGGTATGGGTTGACTAGTCTGAGGACTAAGCTAACAGACTTTGTCTTTTAGGGGGGATACCTAGTAGTCATGTCCATGCATGATTCCCAAATCATGCAGGACACCGATCCAGGCTCATGGCGTCATTGATGCTGAAGCTACGCTGCTCTTGAACCAGGATGTGCTTGCTAATGCATTAGCAAATATGTCTGCTACAGAGTCATATCTTGTTCAACATGGATCTGGATTTGTTAATGAATATGCGCGCCGTGATACGACTGGTGTGCTTTATGCTGGTACTCCAGATGATCCAAACCACCTCTTAGGCGCTTTTCCTTGCTTGTTTCCTTATGGGCTAGGAGGATTCGAAGTCTCTCGACCACGTCCTGTCTCTTATGAAGCTCACGCTAAGTGGGCTATGCAATACGGTGACAAGCGCTTTCGAAAAGACTTCCACTTTATGTTTCAAGTTTTCGGTGTTATCCAGAAACATCAGGTTTGTCGATCCACGGTTCTGCAAGTTCAGAAAAAGGCTTTTCTGGACAACAAAGCGTCTTTCACTCATTTAACTGCCGATGACCTTGCATTGGCCGGTCGCCAGGAAGCAAAAAAAGAAGCTATCTCCAACCCGGTGATCCGTGCCTTGAAAAAACATCTCACTGCAGTTCGAGTCAATGTGGTGGGCACGGACGAATCCAAGATTAGTATTCATGCTTATATCTGGGGTATGACCGTTCTTCGAAACCCACCCTCTTTGTGGATCACAATTAATCCTACCGACACACACGATCCTATCGTCCAAGTATTCGCTGGAGAGGAGATTGATCTGGATCTATTCGATCGTACTGCAGGGCCTGACTCCGCCCAGCATGCGAAGATTGTTGCAGATGACCCTTACGCTGCCGCTAAGTTCTTTCATTTCGTAGTTCGAGCCATTTTTGAGGAGTTGATGGGTATTACAATTCATAAGCGGGCAGCTAGAGGGTCCCAAATTGTTCGGCGCAAGGGGATTTTTGGAACGCTGGAAGGGTATATTGGTACGGTTGAAGCTCAAGGCCGAGGAACATTGCACCTGCATACGCTAATCTGGTTACGTGGTGCTCCAACTGCTTTAAGAATGAAGGAGTTATTGCGATCACCCGACTTTCGATCACGCGTTTCGGCGTACATCGCATCCAATATTTGTGCTCATCATGATCAGGTAACAGAGGAAATTTTGGCTACGGCACCTCGAGACAAAGCAGTTTCGTACTCTCGGCCTCTCGATCCCCGTTCACCCCACCTTTTCAACCTCTCATCACGACGTGGAAGGTCGATTGGTTCATGCTGTTCAGGTCCATAAATGTGGACCTGGATGTCTGAAGGTTAGCGGTGGTTGTTTGTTATGCAAGCGTTGTCCTGCATGATTTGGGAATCATGCATGGACATGACTACTAGGTATCCCCCCTAAAAGACAAAGTCTGTTAGCTTAGTCCTCAGACTAGTCAACCCATACCTTGGTATCAAACCTTGGTCCAATAGTTTCAGTTTTCCCTCAGCAATTCATGAATCCACCATGTTTTGAAGAAAAGTCATATGTGAGATGGGAATCACATAATGACCTAGTTGATATGAGAAGCAAAATGAAGGTTAATGTATTGCCTTTCATTTGGCTTATTCACTTTGGCTAGAGAAACCCATAGAGAAAAGTTCAAAGCCTAACAAAAACCTATCTAAAAAGCCCGCGTATTGTGTACTATTATTTGTTCCATTATTTCTGAGTTGTTTTCTCTAGTGTTTCTTTACTTTGCTTTTCTATTAGGATGCTCTGACTAATCAGATGCTTCATAAAATTGTACCTACAGGGTATGATGTCATAATGATGTCATAGGACTTCACCTACACTCCTGCAGGTATTTTGGTTGAAAGATATGATATCATAGTGATGTCATAATGATGTCATGTTCCATGGAATTTGCTAGAACATTCCAATGACTCATAATGACTCATAGTGACTCATAGTGACTCAGAATGATGTCATTATCCCACCATGAATATTCTGGAATGTTCTTTTGCACCTGCTAGAACATTCTGCTCCAGTTTTTGGAATATTCTTCTCACATTCTGAAGTCATTACATCACCTTTTTACTTACATAATATTCCCACACAAAATGTATATAAGGAGAGCCCATTCTCCCCCAAAAAATAGATCTCCCACTTGTTGCATTCAAGAACTCCCACTTGAGCAAATTGAACTCTCACCTAAGAAGCTTCAGTCTGAACAAATTGCTGCTTACAAAGCCCATTTCCTTTGTAAGAACTGTCCAGACAAGTGCAGGGAAAGTGTTTCCCTTGAGATTACGTAAGTTTCTCGCGATAGAAACCCAGTTTTGTGAGACCAGTGTTCTCACCACGTAGTGTTTACTGACCAACACGAGCTTTGGTCACCGTTGTTATTTGTGAGACCAGCGTTCTCACCAGGTATTTGTATACTGACCAACACGAGCTTTGGTCATTGTTGTTATTTGTCATTGTTTTCTATTTGTCATTTGTTGTTATTTGTGAGACCAGCGTTCTCACCAGGTATTTGTATATTGACCAACACGAGCTTTGGTCCACGTAGTCACATTTGAGACCAGCTTCTCAACAGTTAACCGTATATTCAGGAAACCAGTTCAAGTGTCTAGACGGTATATCCTAGACAATCCCATAGTTTCAATCAGAGATAATAAAGCTCCGGCTAAGTTAATCTGACTGATTGGTTTAGCGAGCCTCCCAAGAACTCACACGTTATCTACCACGAAAGAAGAAAAGTCGTAGACCGTGTTAATCGAGGACTGGCAAGAAGTCTTATCCAGTGTAATTGTGGTGTCATTACATTCTTACACGTTTTCATATAAGACCCTCGGTTATTAAGACATCGGAACAACACTAGGATCTTGAAAGAAGTCAGACAACTATTGTTGATACCTTAAAGACTAACCAATGTCTCCACTAACGTCTACATCTTCTTCTCTCATGACGTTGCTAGAGTCCAACGTCTCAAACGTAGAATGTAAATCTAGAATCTTTCATTCATACGAATAAACTGCAAAAGAACGACTAACCATTATCGTCATCGTCTCCTACAACGTCTCCTGCTCGCTCTTGTTCCACGAGATATTGTTCATCTGAGTACTTGACAACTGAGAGTAGATCCTCAGGGATACCTTCCTCCGGCAAAAGCGATAGATGGTCATCCGAGATCACGATATTCTGATATAGATGGTTCTCGCGTTTCAAAAATGACAACGCAGCCTTGATGCGAAGTCGACTAACGGACAAAAATGATGGCAGCGACTTCACTGGGAGTTTACTAGGACCAATGATGGTGACCGCAACCATGGCAGCGAGTATAACAGGTTTGTGTGGCATTAAATCGCCCTCAATCATCCTAGCAATGTCAGGTGTATTCAACTGATAAGTCGAAACATTCCCCCGAACACCACTATTCAGAGACGTAGAATCCCACTGCTTAGCTCCTTTTCGTTGCGGATACAACTTGAGAACATAAACAGCAGGAAAATACAGAGCAATGAGAAGTCGCTCGGGAAGATTAAGAATGGAAAGAACATCGGGTATCGCTCCCACCCAAAGGCCATTGACCAATGAATGAACAGGGATGTTGCTAATCTGGAGATCTTCCAAACATGGACGACAAATGGGTCCATGCTGCCGACCGTCTTCTTCAGAGATTGACGTTGTGTGCAACAGCAAACCGTTTACCAACACTTGAGCAGTATGCCGGACGATGGGAGTCAGAAGGTAACGGTTAGGCAATTCATCAATAAAAACTTTCTGCACCTCTTCGACTGCCAGCTCCCTTGCACAACATATGCATACAGCAAACTTTGTCGCAAAGTTACCTGTGCAGTCGATAAAACCAGAAAGGGCGTGACATTTGATATCGTCGGGGGGATTCTTCATAAAATCAGCATCCACCTCTAATTCTCCAGAAGACGATGAATGATCAAAACGTGCGTGTTTTAATTGGCGTTCTTTTTCCTCCTGCTGAATGTCTTGCTTACGATGGTAAGCATCTCTGACCGCTAACTGTAATTCTTGCGAGCGGGAGATAGCTGCAATAAGATTCGCTCGGGATCGCTTCTCCAGACTGGTTAACAACGACCCAGCCTCAGTAATGATATCCTTCTTCGTCAAAAATTGCACCATTTCCATTGCATCGAGTGTAGAAGACATAGCGTTCAAGGTAAACAAGCATAATCATTAGGCAATGACAAATACATTCGCAAATGCGTCATCTGACTAAGTCCGCGTCAAACTGTAACCACCATGGCACAACGTTTTGATGCTCACTCCTATCACATCAAGCATTCAAATATAAGCAGCCGTCAAGCATTCAAATATAAGCAGCTATCTCCTAACTTTATCGCATCCACTGCATGGCAACATACTTTGACTGGCCTTGAGGTGGTAAACGAGGACGAAGAACCGTTTCTCGCTACTATAGTGGGTCGCACTTCCACGTATCATCTTAGATGCGGTCCCGCAGGCAATCACTTCAGTGGAGGGATGAGTCCTCTTGAGAAAACAAAATTCCAGTTCCACATTTGTCGCCCTGTTAATCCAGAACTAGGTGCAGATTTCACGGCTGCAATCAATAACCTGGAGACCTTGCAAAACCAAGTTGGTAAGACCAAAGAACACAAAAACATGATTGTCGAAGATGTAACGGGAAAAATGATGCATTTCGCTAGTAATGTCTTCATGACTCGTGTGCGTATTGAATATGCCACTGATAAGGAAGCTCAGAACACTCTACAGGATGAAATCGTACCGGACTCACCACACGGACAAAATGCGTTGAATGCGCCTAAGATGGACGAAGAAACCAGAGACTGGCCAATCCCAGATGAACTGGTGAAAGAATTTGACGCACTGAAATACAAGTTCGAAGTGCACCATCTTCCTCTCTACCACGAAGATCACCTCGTACAACCTATACACGCCAATGAGATACTCAACGGCGCTATGGTTGAAGTACAATTCCACATTCAGCACTGGCGAATTAAGGATATCGACAGCTTCCAAGCTACCCCACAGAGGGTAACGGTTCTCAAACTGGGGCCAATCCGGGTACCGTCCAACTACAAACGTCGCATGGAAGACGAAGATACGGAACAGCCGGAAGCAAAAAGAACGCACCTTAATGCCGAAGCCGGGACATCTAAAGTGGTATCAGAGATTGACTAAAAGGAATCAGACTCACTGGCAGTCAAAAAGAGCGCGCCTTGCTAAGACTGACTGATGGTTTGATGGCTGAGACTGACTGTTGGTTTGATGGCTGAGACTGACAGATGGTTTGATGGCTGAGAGGTCGACGTATCATATTGTATTTATATCATGTGGCGTCAGAAATAAATTGGAATTCACTCCGCACGGTCACAAGTCGGCAACGCCGACCCCTAGTACTGAGTGATCAGTGTTATGCGCTTATTTGGCAAAAGCTTTCAATTTCAACAAAGCCAAATAACACAACACATCCTGCATGCCTTCCCGCCGTGCCGTTTACATTTATGACACTTATCGAACAAGCTTTCCCTTTATACATCTTGCAGAGTTTCACGTCAATTCTGTGTCAGAAGGCAGGCCATGAAGACTGAAAGCGAGGCTCCAAAGACCCCAACGCCCACGCAAACTCACGCTCAAACGCCGTATACTACACAATGGGGTACAACACGTATGTGGCACTGTCCTTGAAATGTCCCTGCAGTGGTTAATATTGAATTTATATAATCTAGATATACCAATTGATCCTGCACTTCAACAGCAATCTCAACACGCCACGTCAAGCTGTCTCTTTGTTCCTCTCCGTTCGGATACTCAATATATACATCTTATCCAGAACAACTCCATATTCCTACCAGTACACTCACCACTATCCTCAAGCCGCGTATTCGCATTATTCATATGTCCCACACCAACCCCAAGTACAGAGGCCGCAGGCCTCAACAACAGCTCCTGTAACAGCAACTACCCAGCCCGCAAATGCGAATAGTGGGATGGATACATCCGATGTAGCAACGTTGAATGATGCTCTTGGCAGCGCTGGTGTTGATCTTCGGGTGCGTTGGTACTGGCAAGGTCTTGATTTCGGTAGTGACTATTCCGCAGGCGGAGGAGGAAAGCCTGCAGAGGTCCCATGACTCGCATCAGTCATATCGAACCTTCGAAGACAGATCACGTAAACAACCAGTTACTCCTTCCTTCGACACACGCTTCCTAGGTGCCAACATGCGTACCATTGGCACGGAACACAAGGTGACTAAAATCCCTGAAGACTCAGTGAATTACTTGGCGATCGCTCTCCGTGCCCGCCTACAAGACCTCGTTACTGCGATGGTTGCTGCAGCGGACCATCGCACGGACAGCCAGTTTGACCGCCCGGCATGTCCGTACGATGACGGCACGCCGATGTGGAGCATAGTCGTGCAGAGCGATGTCGCTAAGCAACTAGCTGCATTGGAAAAGATTGAGCGAGAGGAAGAGATGAAAGTTCGAAGGGAACGCAAAGAACGCGCTGATCTGGCCGCTGCACATGCTGCTAACCTCGCCGCGCAGGCTTCAGGCGGCAATGCCATGGCCGTAGACGGAGACGAGGAGGGAGGTGCGAAGAAAAAGAAGAAAAAAGAGGGACCTGGTGTAACGGCGAGGAATATGTCTGAAGATGTGCGCAAAAAGATGTCGAACGCTGTCGCAAGTCAGGCTGCTGGACTTGGTGGGAAGTACTCGTGGATGAATGCTGCAAACGCCCCTGCAGCCGCTGCCAAACCGAAGCCTGCAGCATCTTCTACTACTACACCAAGTACAGCCACTACCACGACCCCTGCGACTACCACAGCTCCTGCAGTGTCAACAGCTCCAGCAACTTCATGGGCGCGACCGTACATGGGGAGAAAGAAAGGCAGTCCGACATCGCCACAAACGGGAGAGGACGATGATCGGATGTTAATCACAATGCGTGATGCAATGTTCGCCATCGAGAAGGAAAGGGGTCATGGAGGAGGTCGTGGATCCGCTCGTGGATGGTCATAGCCATCTGTACTTGCTTGTGTTGTTTAGATTGCCCATATTGCTGGTCGTTTGTTTTCTCTGAGCAGTTTCGTATTTGTACTTGACTTCATTGTCACCTCAAGCATTGTAGTAATAAGACGGCGCTGACGAAATCGAATGCGGATTGCCACGGTACCTTAGGTACACTGAGAGCTTGGCGTCAAGACTCCAATGGGCTCTACGTTTACGTATACGATAACACTGTTTACAGTTTGCTGCTTCATCCCAGTGCACCGGCACATACACCACCTGGCTCTTGAATATTCTGAATATTGATGGATGCCCCCGAACACAGTTGGAGACTTCTGCCACGGCTGTGAACAGAGGAGCACATGGTTTGATGAATAACATAGCAGTCACTGCCTTGCAGTGGACGTGTGTACTACATTGTGGGACAATGTAAAAAGAAACACATATTCATCAGGTGAGTTCTCCGCTCTCTTCTTCCTGTTGGCCTTGTGGGTAACGTCAAAATCACTTCCGGTGCGGCTCAACTGACGGTCGACTTCAACAGGAAAGCGCTCTCGAGCGAATTGGACCCATCTTTCCTGAGTATCACTATTAACATCAGGCTTATAGCACACGTTGCCGCTCCACACATCCCTGTTGTTCCCGGTGTGAAGACGCAAGCCATGGCTTCCTCATCGAAGCACCGCCCGGCTGCAGTGACAAATAGGATTTTGACGCCAGTTATGACCTTGAAGGGTCATGAAGATTAAGGAGATTGAAGAAGCGCGGGACATTGGTAGTCACGCAGTACATGCGGTGGTGGTATCAAGAGATGGTCAATGGGTTATCTCTGCTGGCGGAGATGGCAATTGGAGGCGCGTGGAGATCAAAGCTTGCGAAGTTGAGCCTGGGTTCGTGAAACGATTTCAAACCAATACAGAAATGATCATCTGCATCGATATCTCTGCGGATGGCATGCTTCTAGCGAGCAGGTCAATGGACGACACCGTGACAGTGCAGATATGGAAGTTCCATACCTGCAAACTCGTGGCAGGTCCATTTGAAAGTGTCGATTTGGTTGGCGCAGTTCGATTCTCGTACGACTCAAAGAAGCTCGCAATCAACTCACTTGCCTTGAGGTCTAACTAACTAACCCTAACTGCCCGGGTGGGGTATATCAGGTGACACCCCGGAATTTCAAATTACCCTTGAATGTTTATAAGGCGAACTTCTAACATGTTTTGGGCTCAACTATCTATCAGAAGGAACGACTATCTTCCCTCGTCTTATAAGGGGCTGTCTTAATCCCTCCCCATGCCCTTCACTCATATTCTCGCTTTAGTGATATCATGCATTATTACCCTGGTTGTCGCTTCGGGTTTGACTCGTAGACGTGCCCACCCTGTACCCTGCCACCTGGCCCTCGTCCGTTACCATTTTTGGGTAATGTGATGCAATTGGATATCAAACGACCTTGGCTCACATATACTGCGTGGGGAAAGACATATGGTTGGTAGCAGACCAATGGCTTCTTTGCCAAGCTCTTGGATTCAATTTCATACCTGACTATAGGAAAAATCATTCACTCCCGCATACTTGGGATCGGCTTGATTATCATAAACTCCGAAACCATCGCGCGGGAGTTGCTGGACAGGCGTTCTGCGAATTTCTCTACTCGCCCCGTTATTTGCACCAACGAATTGTATGCATTGCTGGTTTTCATTCAATTTGTTCTTCATCCACTGACAATGCAGAGCTGGACTGGCTTTCAATACTGTACTCCTTCCATATGGCGAGACTTTACGGCGACATCGCAAGATCTTCCATCAAGTCCTCAGGGCAGAAGTCTCGGTCTCTTACCACAACATGTACTTTCGCCACGCAAACGATTTAGTCGTCAATCTCTTGGATGCTACTAGTGACCTACAGAAACAGACTGAAACGTTCGCACCTAATCCAGTAGTATCGTTGTGATGTGTGGTCCAGTTGACAATCAATCTTTGTGACAGATACACGGCATCCCTAATCATGGCCGTGACATACGGACACCTTGCTCACGGACATGAAGACCCACTTCTTACCCGAGCGCGTGAACTCATTGATATTGGCAAACATATCACTTCTCCCGAGAGGGCTGCCATGTTCGTAGCCTTTCCTTTCCGTAAGTGCCCCTGTCGACGACATAATTTTGAACATTTAGCATGAATTTGTAGTCGAAAAGTTACCGTTTTGGTGTTTCGGTGGAGCATTTGCCCTGATGGGACGCTGTAGAGAATTATGTCAACAGCTTTTGAACGAGCCCTTTAACATTGTGAAGGCACAGATGGTACGTTTGCGCAGAATTGTGGATGGAAATTTCACCTGATCTGCTTGCGTGAAGGCAAATGGTACTGCTTCACACTCATTAGTCGCTGACTTTCTCAGTCAAGCTCACGATGACGCTGACGAAGACACGATGAAGGCTGTTGCGTTGATGGGATACATAGGTGAGAGATTATTTACCAGGACAGAATTCATCCATCGACGCGAATCGGCATATTAGCTGGCATAGACACTGTGAGTCGCTGCTTAGGCAGTCCTGATTATCACTTTGATGTCCCGCAAACTGCATCTGCATTGCAGACATTCCTTCTGGCTATGGTGCTCTATCCTGACGTCCAAGCCCGGGCTCGTGCAGAAATTGATCAAGTTGTGAGGCATGATGAAATGCCGTGCTTTGACGATAGAGCGTCACTGCCCTACCTTGATGCCATTCTCCGCGAGGTCTTGAGATGGTGTCCTGTCATCCCCCTAGGTCGGTCCGCACTAATATAACTAACTCTGAATAGTTGAACCCCTTGTACAGGAATTCCACATGCAACATCAAGCAATGATGTTTACGGGGAGTACTTTATACCCAAAGGTTCGAAGTTGTGTGGGTCGAGGTTGCAATTGACTCATCTGTAGTTCGATCAGGTGTGATAGTAATGGTTAATCAGTGGTATGTCACAGTGTAGTGCGTGGGCCTGAGCATGGCTCAGGGCACTGTCTCGAGAAGAAGACATGTTTCCCGATGCATCACGCTTCGATCCTAGTCGCCATCTAACAGTTGACGGGAAGCTGAAGGACCCTTTCGTCAACCATTTTGCCTTTGGTCATGGCAGCTGAATATTCCACACTTGCTATTATTATTCACTGACCCTTGCTGCAAGGCGTATTTGTCCTGGTAGGGTAATTCGTGATTCATCTGATAGTGTTGAGAATGACAAATGCCCTTGACAGGTCGTTGGTTTGCAGAGAACAGTATGTGGACTGCAGCTGCTGCCATACTTGCCGTCTTGCGCATCGATCATGCCAAAGACTCAAACGGAGACAGGATTGAGGTGATGCCGGAGTTCAGCACCGGCACGGCGATGTAAGTGACCTGGTATGTATTCAAGAACCTGCGACTGACTCTGTCGGAGTCACCCTGAACCATTTCACTGCTCGTGAACACACCGAGAGAAGGACATCTTCGAGTGATGACGAATTCAAAGTAGGCTTCGTTTGTACTTGTGGTGGTCTGTCATGTAATCATAGCACACGATTGTACAACGGCGCAGAGTGCACTGGATGGCAAGGTCTCTGATGAATAAGAGAATTTCTTTCGAAACATTGACTCTTTCGAAACCAGATCCGTTTCCAAAATCTCGTGACCCGACTGCACACCGTCGATCGGTTCACGGGCCCTTCCTGTTGCAACGTTGGTTTACCTGAATATCGGTCGACAGTAATCCATGCACTCGTACCACGACTTACACTCCAACATTATCACCAGGAGTCCAGAACATTGACGAGATGCATTCAACATCCTCAGTAACTTGCCGATGACTCACAACGAAAAAATCAATATTCGAATCTCGGAGATTGATCCTGCATACAACTATTTTTCCTTCCTTCTTAGTACGCTTCCTAAGCCACATCATGCGGAGCATTGGCAGTAGCGCTGGATATAAGCGATTGTCGTCTTTCTCAAGACGCGGTGCGGGAGTATGTGGGTTGCCTATGAAGTGGAAAGGATTGGGTGAACATGTACTTGGGGACAGTTAAGACGATGGCATGAGGAAACTTGTCCTTTGGCGTCACAAGCGAAACAGCAACAAAGGGCGAGGTACGAAGAAAATTGAATATCTCTCGAGCCATCTCTGGATGTACTATTGGGCAAAATCATTCGTACGGATAGTGTGCTTTGATCCTCGCCACGGACTCCCGTTCCATAGATGTTCCAGAGGTAGAGCAAGAGTTACTTAATTGGACCACTACCGCTGGTTCAAGGTCAGGTCGATTCCGATGTGTCAACCGGTACCAACTTTCCATCTCAGCACGGTTGTGATGGAGGTTCAAACGGAGTATGTATCGCCAAGTTTTCCCTCATTCTCGCAACAAGGGACGAGAATCCAAGTCGGCATGAGCTCCCGAACGTCATTCGCGGACCTATGGCCACGAGTTCGATTGTCCTCAAATGAAGAATCGGGAGGCAACCCAACGAGAAGTCGAATGACGTTGAAAGTTTGAAACGTCCGGTTCAGCGACTACACGCGAGATGAGCTCAAGACGAGACAGCATATGATGAAATTGCAGGAAAAGAAGTCGAACCCATAGTAAACGTCTTCGCACTTTCCCTCGAACCAGAACATCAGCCTTTTTAAATTTGGTATGCCTTCTAGCAAGTGATGCAAACAGAATCTCCAGTCCACGATTCGAGCGCTGAGCTCCAACGAGCCGCCGGGGGATTGCACTTTGCCTCTTATTTCACTTATTTTCCTCCTTCAACTTAATTTCATGTTGCCCACTCAGTTCCGCATCCGAAGCATAAGTGAAAAAGTTGTAATTAGCGAACTTTCACGCCTCGTGTAAGTCGTGTTGTAAATAAAGTTACATTGGGCCAAAGAGGTAAACTCGTGATTTCCTGATGCTAAGAACTGATATTTCACTGATGTAGTGCTCCTACCAGTCTTGCGTATCAAACACTATTTGATTCATTTCCGACGTTTAGATGGGCCATTAGAGGTGTCCGATTCGAATGCGCTGTTGCTATTGATCAGAAACTCATCCAAAGTTCGCTTTGTGGATGTGCCAACGGCGGCATTAGACCTCAGAGAGGGGGAGGGTGGCCGAAGCTTCCGTTATTGAGTACCGGGAATTGGGACCGATGGCTGACAACCGTTCATTGTGCGTTGAAGTTCAGGCTGAGGACGAGAGAGAATTAAAAGAGGTTTTCACAAAATAAAAAAGAAAGTCAAACCTGAAGTGCAAGTTTCTGCCCCTCGGATAAAATATCAAGACAAGACCGCAGTCCATTCAAACACCACTGCCGTTCCAGCCAGGAAAGGAGGTGACGATTCCAGAAAACTCGAAATATACGATTGAGAACGTCGTCCCATGGATGTGGAGCACGCGACAGGTGAATAACCCAGTTTTGAGATGCATACTTGAGAGCGTGGGGAAATGATTGACTTTTTTCCTGTGCTTCGTTTGCAAAAGTTATAAAGAGATTCATAGCACGGATGATCTCCATGTCAGGAACTTCTGGCGATGCAGAGGTGAAGTGATCCTGGGGTATCAACGCCAGGAACATCGGAAAAATCAAGAAGTCCGGTAGGGTTTTGAGCTCCTGGACTACTTTGAAGGTTGGCAGTAACGCTGAGTCTGGGACAATAATATAGTTGCTGATTGTTTCCAACGTACTTGAGAATTCTTCCATAGTCGCCCATACGGACCCCGCAGGAGTGGATTGCCACGCTTGGCCATGGGGCGTCTGGAGCCACTCTCGTCCTTCCTCAGTCTGCAGCCACTGTCGTCCTTCTTCAGTCTGCAGCTGCCACTGTCGTCCTTCATCGGTCTGTAGCTGCCACTGTTGCCCTTCATCGGTCTGGAGCCAGTCTCGTCCTCTCCAGGTCTGGAGCCAGTCTTGTCCTCTCCAGGTCTGGAGCCACTCTCGTCCTTCCTCATTCTGCAGCCACTCTCGTCCTTCCTCATTCTGCAGCCACCCTTGTCCTCCCTCGGTCTGCATCCACTCTCGTCCTTCCTTAGTCCGCAGCCACTCTCGTCCTTCCTCGGTCTGCAGCTGCCACTCTCGTCCATCATCGGTCTGCAGCCACTCTCGTCCTTCATCGGTCTGCAGCCACTCTCGTCCTCCCTCGGTCTGCAGCCACTCTTGTCCTTCCTCCATATACAGCCATAATATTCCGTCCTTGGTCTGCAGCCATTGTCGTCCTCCCCAGGTCTGCAGCCACTCTCGTCCTTCCTCAGTCTGCAGCCACTCTTGTCCTCCCCAGCCCTGCAGCCACTCTCGTCCTTCCTCGGTCTGCAGCCACTCTCGTCCTCCCCGGGTCTGCAGCCACTCTCGTCCTTCCTTGGTATACAACCAGTCTAGTCCTCCATCGGTCTGCAGCCAGCGTCGTCCTCCCTCGGTCTGCAGCCAGTCTTGTCCTCTCCAGGTCTGGAGCCACTCTCGTCCTCCATGGGTCTGCAGCCAGTGTCGTCCTCCCCAGGTCTGCAGCCACTCTAGTCCTCCCCAGGTCTGCAGCCACTCTAGTCCTTCCTTAGTCTGCAGCCACTCTCGTCCTTCCTCGGTCTGCAGCTGCCACTCTCGTCCATCATCGGTCTGCAGCCAGTCTCGTCCTTCATCGGTCTGCAGCCAGTCTCGTCCTCCCTCGGTCTGCAGCCACTCTTGTCCTTCCTCCATATGCAGCCATAATATTCCGTCCTTGGTCTGCAGCCATTGTCGTCCTTCCCAGGTCTGCAGCCACTCTCGTCCTTCCTCAGTCTGCAGCCACTCTTGTCCTCCCCAGGCCTGCAGCCAGTGTCGTCCTTCCTCGGTCTGCAGCCATTGTCGTCCTCCCTGGGTCTGCAGCCACTCTCGTGTTCCATGGGTCTGGAGCCAGCGTCGTCCTCCCCAGGTCTGCAGCCACTCTCGTCCTTCCTCAGTCTGCAGCCAGTCTCGTGTTCCATGGGTCTGCAGCCAGTGTCGTCCTCCCTGGGTCTGCAGCCAGTGTCGTGCTCCCTGGGTCTGCAGCCAGTCTCGTGTTCCATGGGTCTGGAGCCAGTGTCGTCCTCCCTGGGTCTCCAGCCAGTCTCGTGCTCCATGGGTCTGCAGCCACTTTCGTCCTCCCTGGGTCTGCAGCCAGTCTCGTGTTCCATGGGTCTCCAGCCAGTGTCGTCCTCCCTGGGTCTCCAGCCAGTCTCGTGCTCCAAGGGTCTCCAGCCAGTCTTGTGCTCCATGGGTCTCTAGCCACTCTCGTGCTCCATGGGTCTCCAGCCACTCTCGTCCTCCCTGGCTCTGCAGCCACTGTCCTCCTCCCCAGATCCGCAGCCATTCTCGTCCTCCCTCGGTCTTCAGCCACTGTCGGCCTTCCTCGGTCTCCAGCCACTCTAGTCCTCCACAGGTCTGCAGCCACTCTTGTCCTTTCACAGTCTGCAGCCAGTCTCGTGCCCCCTGGGTCTGCAGCCAGTCTCGTCCTCCACAGGTCTGCAGCCAGTCCCCCCCATTCGGAGTCTGCAGCCAGGAACACCCGTCCACGGTTCCCAGCCAATATTGTAAATCTGAAGTACGATATCCCCGAAGCCATAGCATACAGACGAGAACTGACATTGGCTTTGGTGGCCGAACAAGGAAGGATAGCGAAGATTTTAATCCATGGGGGTCCTCAGGTTGCATAGCTTGGCTTTGTTTCTTCAGTTCTAAGAGCGCATCCAAAAGGGCCGTGCTTTCTGGAATATTTTGCGTCATCAAGCGAAAAGAGGATTCAGCAAGTAGGGATTGGGGTGATCGCATATTGTCTTTGCATACTTGAGGGAGCCTGCAGTTTGAGGGGTCGGAAACATAGTCGCGAATGGACGAGTGATAGATGTTCACGGGGTGAGTGCTGTCTGTAGGGATATCCATGACAGACCGTAGCTGTAGCAGTGTTCTCTGCACATCCCTGCCCAAACCAGGGCCAAGAAGTGACGAGATTTGCGAGATGGGAAGAGGGTCAACGAGCGCGGCGACGATGGACAAGTGCATGTAAGCCCGCTTGGGGTCAGCACACGTGGAGAGGATACAATCGTATAACTTATACACCTCCGTCCCTGGTAGTAGCTCGCTCGTTAGCTTGAGCATCAAATGTAACCGATCGCGGGGATCATCGTCTTCATCGTCGATGATGAATTTCATCATCGTAGACGCCACAATGAAACGTCTGCCCGCTCGGCTCGCCAGCTTCGCAAGATCATCTTTCGATGGGTGAGGAAAATCAGTATGGCGACTTGCCAACTCTGCGAAGGAATACTGCAAGAAAGTATAGATGTCTTTGTCAACATCGGCGCCGTCGAGCGAGATGATGGTAGCAACGCCCTCCCCAGAAGTTTTCACGGGTATTTCGCACAACAACGGGCGCACCTCTTCATTCTGAAAGGCTTTAGATATATGGGTTTCCGAGCGACTTGTGAGCAGAATGTGGGTCACGGGAAGATTAGGGTCACGAAGAGCCTGCGCGAGGGAAAGGATGAGATCGGTAACTTGTTCGGATGTGCATTCGTCAAGGGCATCGACAACAAACGTCAGAGGCTGACGCCCATGCAATCTGAGTTGAAGTTTCCGGAGGGGTTGGAGAAAGAGAGCCTCCATTTGGTCGCAGAGAGGCGCGTCTGAGTCTAGTAGAGCAGGATTGTTGCGGATCGCTCTGTTCACATCCTCCCGGATGCTTGGAAAATTAGTGGCAAGCTGGTAGGCAAGCGTTGCAAAGAAATATCCAGCTGTGCAACGTTTAATGTGCTTGCGTGAGAAAAAGAATGTTCCCGCTAGCCGCATTTCGACATTCGTCTCCTCTGTCACTTTCAGGCCTTTCATCCTCTCAGCTACGGTGAACGCGACGGCAGACTTCCCAACGCCTGCAGTGCCATGCAGCCAGATAAGTTGATTTTTCTTTCGGTCGTCCAGGAATCCGTGGATGTATTTGAGGAGATCCACCCGGGTCCCTTGCAAACATTTTGGATGGGGCAGACGTTCAGGGGAGTTATACTGAGCACCCTTGACAGCGGCCTCGGACAGCCTAGCCCAAGTTTCTTTAGACGATGGAAGAACTGTCAAAAGGTCAGAAAGCGAGAGAGGAACAAGAGTGAGAAAAACCGACATCGTTCCTCACTCATTCACGGAGGTTATGATAAACGTGATGAAATGGATAAATTGAGAGTATTAGCTGGGTGCGGTATAAAATCATCTGGGCGATGTTTATTTCGAGGGACGACGTACGAAGATTTGAATCAAAGTGTGGATTTGTTGAAAGTCGAAGTTAAGTTGTCTTGAAGGGGCCCGAAGCGCAATGGAGATGGGATGGGATGAATGGATGTTTCAATATATGGAAAGCTTGCTGGATGGTGGTGGATGATATAGTTCAAGGACAAGTGCTGGGCGCTTGTCCGGTTGCATGAGGCCACGAGGTTGCTGTGCATATGCACGCTGTATGAGCATTGTGTATTCGAAACTGAGGCAATTCAATACAACTCGAGTCGATTCGTTCACACCTCGACAAGCATCGAATTAGGAACAAACTGCCAAATGAAATTTTGCTAAATTTGGCCTGTGACTTGGTGCAACCTCACATCTCTAGCATTTCAATTTTTACGTATTTTCACAAGTTGGACTGCAGTACTCAGGCTGCTTTAGCGCCGGAGGACAGGCACCTACAATGCTGTACAATACAAATGTTGAGCAATCCGCAAGCGTGGTTAGGCGACGGGTGTCTAGGCCATCGTATAAATTCGTGCATCGTACTGTGAGTTTAGTATTATATTCACAAAACTTAACCAGTGGAACAGTTCTGCAGCTTCTGCTATCCCTTCGGCATCTGAGCGCTTGAGCAACAGCCATCATCACTCTCAGGCTAGTATTACAAGACTCGGAGTATGAGCCGACGTCACAACGTCGCTCTCTCGTCCCTTTTTGCCATAAGTGACAAATAAAGTAAAAAGAGCAACCGGTAGTTTTCCTGATGTGGCTGCGCTCGCACTTCTCTACTCTCCCGTCGATCTTATCTCGGATCCTTCGGCCTCTGGCACTGATCCATCGGAGTCCAACCAGATCGGTTCTTCTTGCCACAGGCTGTCGATACCTTCGCATCGGGCAAACAGGTGTGGCAATTTTTTTTATTGCTGTCTTCGAGTTCTCATGCATTCGCAGTACGTCACTGACGCGGATGCTCCTAACAATAATTATGGCCGGATACGTGATAAGGTCTCCGATCTTCCTTTGCGTTGTTTCAACGCGCACATACCAAGACCGGGGGCATGATGAGCTCAGGGGCCACTAACGCTGCTGCCTCGAATAATCCGATTTTCCGTACGTTTTCCTACATTGCGATGTTGATTATTGTCGCTTGTTGTATTCTTATCCATGGATGCGGGTCACTGATATGCTGCTACTCCTCTTTGATGGCATCTTGATTCAGCGGTCTATCGACGACGTCGTCTGTAATTGTGTGATCAGATCTTCTGGATTGAATGTTAATATTATTCTTGAACAAGCTTCCAGACGTCCGGCCTTAGGGCGATTCACAAGGTTTTATAATGCCGTCGGCCGAACCCTTGCAGATACGTCTGTTTCTTTAACTTCGCCGTGCCACCCCTCTCTGACTCTCAGCCGTAGCTATGTTCGTTCTTCCATGTTCGAGGGCTCGTCCTCAGGGTGCTAAATTTCTGAAATACGTAGCAGCTTGACCTCATGGATGGTTCTATGCACAGGAATGTGGGAAATGGAAAAAGCATCTCATGGATTCTTTCCACAGAGAAACTTTGGCTATGGCTGTGTGCCGATAAACAAGGATAAGTAATAATGATTAGCAATGCGCAGCTGTCCTCACATTCAAGAATTAATCGCTCTTCCTCCCCAAGCCAGCTCCTTGGTAACACGAAAATCTCATCTCAACCTGCAGTGCTAATGAACTGACGATGAACTTCAGCAGGCAAAGTGACCGCCCATCTTCAAAATTGCCATCAACTTTAGGCTTATCACGCACTAGGAAGCTCGGCGCTATTCCTTCGAACGCATTCACATAATTCGAAACTCGTCCTTAGTTACTTGCCATTGTCACAGTCGATGATGCATGCCGTGGTTTCAACATCGATACAGCCCGCTGCTGCAGCAAACAATATAATTCTCAATCCGATAATGACCCTGGAAGGGCATGACAAGTATATTCGGTCGATATCCTACTTTCCTGACGGCCGACGAATGATGAGCGGTTCTTGGGACAAGACTGCTTGGCAATGGGATCTAAAGGCAGGTAAGGAGATTGAGGAAGCACGCAACGTTTGTGAACGGGGAATATGGGTGGTAGCGGTATCCAGGGATGGACGATGGGCTATCACAGGGGGCGGAGGTCTCGGCCATGGGGAGCTCAAAGTCATTGAGGTTGAGACGGGTATCGTAAAACAATTCGAAGGTCACTCAAGAGGGATCAGCTGCATAGATATCTCCGCGGACAGCAAGTTCCTGGCGAGCGGATCATGGGATCGCACAACGCGGATATGGAGCTTGCGCACTGGCGAACTCGTGGCTGGTCCATTCGAGAGCATTGATTGGGTGGGCGGGGTTCGTTTTTCATCAGACTCAAAGAAGCTCGCAGTGAAGTCAGAGGCAGGGAAGTGCCTTGAGGTGTGGGATGTCCACACAGAGACTTTGGACGTTAGAGTTGGGGAATTTGGTGAAATACCCTTCACTTCTGCGCCAGTGTTTTGGACACGCGGAAACAAAACCATCGTAGCCGCATTCACCTTCACGTTCGACGACGCGACAACGATCTATGAGTTTGACGCGTTGACACTGGAGACTGTTGGAGCCCCCTTTGAAGCGCATACCAAAATTGTTCGTGGTCTAGCACTTTCATTTGATAATACTTTCCTCGCCAGTGCTGCGGACGATAACACCATCAAGGTCTGGGCCTTCGAATCCCGCCAACTCCTCGCATCCTTCAACGCTCAGACTCCCGTGACCCTCATCCTTTCGCCCGACTCCAGTCAACTAGCTTACACGACAGGTCGCAAGATCTATATTTGTAACACTCCAATCGACATCCTAGCCAGCGTCGGGTGTGGGCTTGAAGCACGAGACGGTGTACGCATTCACCCCATATATTGGAATCTTTGCGCTAACATTTCCTTACAGACCAGTTCAGACAAAAATTCAAGGCTCAATCGCCTGCTGAATGTTCGCATTTCATGATTTTGTTTTTCGTTTACACAACTCATACAATCGCCATTATTTCAGTCTCACACAACCCGTCGTCCTCCTGCAGTCCGCCGACACCAAGCTACATCGCCAGTCATATCGTTCAACAGGCCGCACAAACCTCCGCCTGAAATACGTCCAGAGCAGCCCGTTTTGCTACGTTACCTCCGCAAAATCGTTCGCTTGTCTTCTCACTCAATCGCTGTTCCTCCTGTTTGGAAAGATCAGACTCATGATCCACTAGATGTACGTCTCTTTATCTTGAATAATTCACTGTTAGCTCAACGATCTTGCGCCAGTTCTCCGCCGTGTCTCCCCTACCCTCTAACCATGTTCTCTTGGGGCAGGCTATAACTCACTTTGATGATGTCAGTCTTAACTTTTGATGAACACGCGATCCATTATTGACTACGCGTCCAGGTCGAAGCAATTTCTACGCTCGACCGCTCTGTGTATGGTGGCTCACAGTACCCCACACGGCACTCCTGCACCGACCACCCCCTCAAACGTGACCCATTCCATAGGCAGTCGCACCAAGCACAACCTAAGGAGGAAAGTTTGCGCTGCTCGAACGGAGCCATACAATTCCTGCAGCAGCACCTTTCCTTCCGTAAGTCAGCACCCGACCACGAGCCACTGGTCGCTGAAGTCGCAGCTGGCCGCAAGTTTACTGTAATGTGGATCTTCTTACCTCTCCTTCCTTGTTTGCTGATCGGTGCCCTATAGCGAATTGTTGCTGCGAAGTTCCCGGAATACATCAAAGTGGACGACACCCGAAGTCCATTGAGACAGCAGCTTGCCATGTCGCAGGACATGGCACACGACCACTCATCGTCCGAGTCCTCGGACGTTGATTCGCTCCCGGACGTGCATTGGTGCAAGGCGTTCTTTTGCTACTATTCGTGCTGGTCTCATGGCAGACTGAGGATGCCTCCGCGATGGCGCTTGGAGAGGGTGGACCCACACCAGGATGGCACGACGAGAGCCGGTCGTGGTGGGACTCACTGTCACAGCTAGTCTAATGGTGTTCGTCGAATGTCCTTTTGAATTCAGGAGACAGAAAAATGTCTTTGTAGATCTCAGAGTGCCACAGCATTCAAAGATGACTCGGATGCTCGTGGTGGTTTGATCTTTCGCTTCCAACGATTCGAGTGAGGTACAAGGAACTCCAACACTAACATTGTGAGTGCAAGCCTTGCCTCGGTTGAATCGTTTTCACGACGCAATTCGCGGTCCTTGTCTCTCTTGTTGAGCTTGCTCTGGCATCTCCCGATCAACTTCAGCTCCTCCTACCACACCTGAGAACCGTAGAGCTACAGGTGCCAAGCCCTTGAGTAAGGCGTTGAAAGCAAAGATTGCCTAGACGCAGACAATGTACACCAAGATACTGTCTGTGGTTATCCTCTGACTGACTGAGGAGTTTTCCGCGTTGAGTTCAGCCTCGACTTCGCACCATAGGGCACAGCACCATGCCAGATCAATGTTGAGCTGAAGCCAGGCGCGCCAAACGTGGGAACTTGGTTACTACTAGTAGTAGTGGTCACGAATCGAAGAAGGCGCCCATCATCTTTTCCCGAGAACATGAAGTGGACAAATGCGCATACATACCGTCAACAGCGCGGGCTTTTGTGATCATAGTAAAGTAATTCTAACAGACTGATTAGCAATGCGGGATTAGCTCTCAAACGCAGGAATCTTGGTGGTAGCTGTGAACTGAGCGAGAAGCGAATTTGATGGATAGAAGCTAGCCTAGCCTGAGTACGTACTGTACTTCTACGTAGGCTCTATGCAGTACTGCCATGCAGCAGGGACGCGTTAGGAGACATTATGCAGGGACGACAGCTGTGCTCAGGTCCAAGCCTTTTTCGCTGTAACCTTGCCATGGTAACATCAAACTCTCAGATCCAAACTTCCAACACGGATGAACTGACGATTCATTCTAGAAGGCAACACACTCTCGAGCGACTCGGAGTCGAGCATCATCAAAGTCGTACATCAAGCCGACAGCACACGAGGAAAGCGTCCCGCCATTGCTCCGTTAAACGTATCCAAAGACACGTTCCCCGAACTCGCCTCCTTTCGAATACGTAGACCATCGCTTCTGCATCAATGCAACCCGCAGCTGCAGCAACCGGTATGACTCTGACACCGGTATTGACCTTGGAGGGTCACGAAGAGCATGTCCGATCCATATCTTACTTTCCAGACTGCAAGCGAATGATCAGCGGATCAATGGACAGGACTGCTCGAAGATGGGATCTGCAGGAGGGTAAAGAGATTAAGGAGGTGCGGGACGTTTGCGAGCAAGGAGTGTATTCCGTGGTGGTATCAAAGGATGGTCGATGGGTTATTACTGCTGGTGGACTTCTCAATCACACTGATCCTGGGGAGATCAAAGCCTATGAGGTTGAAACGGGGAACATGAAAACATTTCGAGGTCACGCACGGATGGTCACCTGCATCAACTGCTCCACGGACAGTACCCTACTGGCAAGCGGGTCGTGGGATGGTACAGCGCGGGTATGGAGCTTGGATACCGGCAAACTCGTGGCTGGGCCATTCGAGAGCAAGGATTGGCCGGGCGCAGTTTTATTATCGCCAGACTCGAAGAAACTTGCAGTCAAGTCAGAGGCTGGGAAGTGCATCGAGATCTGGGATGTCCAATCACAGACACTGGATGTGAGAGTAGGGGGATTCAAATTTGTTGGCGTACCCTTCACATATACACCACTTTTCTGGACGAACAAAAACAAAAACATCCTGGCCGCATTCAGTTTTACGGATAACAACGTCGCTAGTACAATCTATGAGTTCGACGCAACAACGCTGCAAACTTCTGGAGCTCCTTTCGAAGGGCACACCAAGATTGTCACCGGATTAGCACTTTCATTCAATTGTGCTGTCCTTGCCAGTGCTTCCGATGACAACACCATCAAGCTCTGGGCATTCGAATCCCGCCAGCTCCTCACCTCCTTGACCGTCCAAAACCCTTTCTGCCTTGTCTTTTCACCTGACTCACGCCAGCTAGCATACACTACCCACATCTCCAATGACAATAAGATCTTTATATGCAACACTCCACGCAATATCCTTGATCTACTGAAGGTATCTCATTTTTCTTTTCATTATACCACTCATCCATCGTCATCATTGCAGTCTGATGCAACTCGTCGTTCGGCTGCGACGCGCCGGAACCCACCAACATTGCCCGTCATAGCCAAGCCCCAAAGATCTTTGCCTGCAGTAGACCTACGGCAACACATTTTCCTTCACATCCGCAAACTCCTTCACTTGGGTCTTCCCGTTCGGAATGATCAGCATCGTGATCCTCTGGACGTGGGTTTCACCATCCTGTTCAACTTTACAGTCAACTCAGTCGTGCTGCAGTTCCCTGCTACGTTGCCTCTACCCCAAAAAATATCTCCCTTGGGGCATTCAGATGTAGATCCTCACGAGAACGTGAGCCACTGCTCATGCAATGATTTTTTCGACTCACCTTTTTAGTCTCGAGCTACACCAGCATTGCCCACCACCCGATCCACTTTCACCGCTCCCACTATCTTCACAACACGCCCAAATCACTTTCGTGCAGGCCATGCTCTGCCACCCTTCGCTGACGTTCCTTACGCCCAGGGTAAAGAGGTGTGTTCATTTTTTTTACCATTGAACTCGAAGTCTTATGGATTGGTTGCAGCGCAACGCCGCAGCAGGTGCTCCCAAAAAAGATGACGATATAGTACCCGATGAATATTTTGACCCTCCTTCTCCACACCCCAATTCACAAGAACCAACTGCAGCAGTACAATTCGACACCGGAGAGCATGGAAGCGACCGGTCGTGTTTCTGCTTCTAGGTAGTTTTGTTGATATCCTTTGCGCATAATAATTTATGATTGCCTTTCTTTCGTTATTTATGAATGTGGACATGTTGTATGTTTGCATTTCTTATCATATTCAACAGTCCAGAACATCGACGAGACACGTCCAACATCATTGGTAAATTGCCGACGACTCACCAAGATATCAATATTCAAAACTCGGAGAATGATTCCGTATACAACCAGCCTTCCTTCCTTCGCATGTTCCTCAAGCAAACGTCTGGTCCAGCGACTACACATGAGATGAGCTCAAGACGAGATAGCATATGATGAAATTGCAGGAAAAGACGTTAAGCCTAAGAGTAAACGTCTTCGCGCTGTCCCTCGAACCAGAACGTCAGCCTTTTAAAATTTGGTATGCCTTCTAGCAAGTGATGCAAACAGAATCCCCAGTCCACGATTTGAGCTCCCACGAGCCGCCGTGTGCATGTCGGCGTTTGAAACGCACGGTATGAACTTGGCGACCAGGCATAAGGCCGTTTGAAAAAAGCTATGGCGGACAATAGCGATTTGCCGATTTGCAGTGCCTTATTTGGAAGTCCGATCGTCCATACAGCAGAGACTTCCGTTAGATGTACATAATATTAAGTACTGGCAGCTCCTCGCGCAGAATGGACATCTGTGGCACTAGCAGCAACTTCGGCAATAGCTGTGAGCCCGTGAGTGAAAAGCAAGGAAAAGGAAAGTTGAATTACTACGAATGGACGAGATGCACAGCTAGCACTGCCATGCAGAAACGTGTTGGGATATGATATGCAAGGAGGACTGTTGTATTCGCATTCAAGAATTCCTTGCACTTCATCTTTGCAACCCTCTCTGTAAGCTTATGTGAACTGCCAGCGCGGGTGAACTGACCATCGGTTCAGCAGGGAAAAGGCTGTCATCATCAAAATCAACATATATCGCGTCAATGCACGAGGACAGCTCACCTTTGAACGCATCCAAAAAACATCTTAGCTACTGAACTGCGGCCTCATTCGCGGAGACACAACCATGGTTTCTACATGGGCGGAGCTGTTCCATAAAGAAATGATCCTGGCACCGGTAGAGACATCGGACGAACACTACCAGCCTGAAAATTTTACATCCATAGCCTACTTTCCCGACGGCAAGCGAATATTCAGTGGATCTTCGGACAAGATTGCTCGGCGATGGGACTTGCAGTCGGGCAAGGAGATTGAGGAAGCGCGGGATGTTTGCAAGGAGGAAATATGGGTAGTGGCGGTATCAAGGGATGGTCGATGGGTTGTCACTGGTGGTGGAGCTTACAAACGTCCGGAACTGAGAGCCTGCGAAGTTGAGACGGGAGTCGTGAAAAGATTCGAAGGCCAAAGCTCATGGGGGATCACCAGCGCTGATATCTCTGCCAACAGTACGCTGCTTGCGGGTGGGTCAGACTCGACAGCGCGGATATGGAACTTGGAAACCGGTAAACTCATGGCTGGTCCATTCAAGACCGTTGATCGCGTGGGTGCAGTTCGATTTTCCCCAGACTCGAAGAAGCTCGCAGTCAAGTCAAGCGTGGGGAAGTGCCTTGAGGTCTGGGATATCCAATCACAGAAATTGGATGTGAGGATAGGGCAATCTAGTGAAGAAGGATCTACAGACGCTCCAGTGTTCTGGACAAACAAGAACAAAAACATCTTAACTGCGTTCACCTTCGATGTGGATGACCAAGCCAGCACAATCTATGAATTCGACGCATCGACGCTGGAGACTATCGGAACTCCCTTAGAGAACACTTTTGCTGTCAGCAGCCTAGCACTTTTATTTGACGGCGCCCTCATTGTCAGTGCTCACACTGACTCAACCATAAAGCTTTGGGCCTTCGAGTCCCGTCAGCTCCTTGCCTCCTACGGCGTCAGCGGCACCGTTGTCCACACCCTTATGCCCTCACCCGACTCACTTCAATTGGCCTACACGACCTACGGTGATCCTGATATCTATATATTCAACGTTACCCCCGCTCTGCTTTCCATACAGTCCACCCTCCGCAAAGTATGTATTCACCCGCATGAAACCATCTTCTCTAGACTAACCTTCTCTCGAAGACCGATGCCAATTTACTTAACGTATGTATCCCAGTATTATTGTCACCATTGTACCGATTCACATGAATCATTGCAGTCTGACGCAACCCGTCGTCCCGCTGTCGTGCGCAGAACCCCAGCGAAACGGCCTGTCATATCTTTCCCCCCCAGGCCTCAAATCCATTCGCCTTCAATAGATCATCAACAACCCATTTTCCTTCGTCATGTCCGCAAACTCTTTCACTTTTCCTCTCGTACGAATTCAGTTCCTCCTGTACAGCCTCGCGATCCATGGGATGTTCGTCTCTTTATCTCGTCTCATTTAGAGTTGACTAGAACGCTTCCCACAGTTCCCTGCTACATTGCCCTTGCCTCCCAACCGCTCGGCCTCGCCGCAGGTCGCAAATCAGTTTGATCATGTTGGTGTTCAGTTTTAGTAAACTCACAATGCATGACTGAGTCCATATCCAGTTCGAAATAAGCTCTCCGCCCCGCCGCTCGAACAGAATCACACAGTTCTTGCGTCAGGGCCTTCCCTTCCGTAGGTCCGGACCCCAACCCGAACCACCTGTCGTTGAAGTTGCACCCGGGCGGAAATTCACTGTAATACAAATATTATTATCTCTCGTTGCCTTGTTGTTGATGTGTGTCCTACAGCGTCTTGCTGCTGCCAAATTCCCAGAATACAGGAAAGTTGATGATACCCGGCACCCCTCTAGACAGCAGACTACCACACCGCAGAATGACCCCACGCCTGATTCATCTGACATTGATTCTCTACCAGATGTTCATTGGATCAAGGCTCTCGTCTGCTATTACTCGTGCTGGTCTCATGGCAGATTGAGGAAGCCTCCTCGATGGCGCTTGGAACGTGTGGATGTACCCCGCCAGGATGCTGCGACGAGTGGCAGCTGTAATGCGGGTCACAGTCGCAGTTAGCTCAAGGTGCCCTCCTCCGAGTTCATTAGATTCCCTGCAACTGATCATGTCAAGCTTCTATAGTGAATACCAATGCGGACAGTGTCGACGGGAAAGTGGGAAAGAGAGTGTGCTTGAGTACGGTTGAGATGATGGTATGAGGAAATGTGCTCTCCGTGCAATGTTCAAAACCACTCCTACTACAATGAAAAGCCTGCAACAAAAAAGGTTGATTGCTTCGAATACTAAAGTACATCAAGGCCGTCCAGGGTCATGAACTATTTCATCCATATCCTATTTCCCGGACGGCAAGCAGATAATCAGTGGATCTGGAGACAAGACCACTCAAAGATGGGACCTGCAGGCGCCGGGTAAGGATATTAAGAAGGCATGGAATGTTTGTGAGCAGGAACTTAGGTAGGTGCTGTGGCGGTATCAAGGGATGGTCGATGAATCATCACGGGTGGTGGAAATTACTTCATCGGGGAGCTGAAAGACTATTAGGTTGAGACGGGGATCGTGAAAAAATTTCAAGGACACTCGCAGTGCATCACCGGCATCGATATCTCTGCGGACAGCACGCTCATCACGAGTAGGTCAGACGATGCTGGGCCAGCGCAGATATGGGACTTGGGTACTAGCAAACTCGTGGCAGGTCCCTTTTAAAGTAGTATCAAGTTCAATGTGGGCACAGTTCGATTCTCGACGGACTCAAAGAAGCTCATGGTGAAATCAAACGCGGGTACATGCCTGGACCTAGGAGTGGGAGATGTCCGATCACAGAAATCAGATGTGATTTTGACTAGTATCTCAAGTCGCCGATCCCCAACGTCCCAGCTCGAACTTCCAAAGCTTCATTGATGTTTTTCATCTCTTTCTCCGTCAACACAATGGTATTACCTGAGTCACATCTGTGGCAAGCATAGCCGGTTTTGATACTGGACCCAAGAGTGTACGCACGTATGTAGTCCGAGCGCTCCTTCTGCGGCAGGTTCCACATATTGTCGGTAGAGACATACAGGGAGATGTGCTTGTGATCTTTAAGAATGATTGTGGACTTATGGTGTGTCGCGCTGTATCGCACAAAGGCTTCAGCTTCAGTGTCATTTTCATGCCGTCAAGTAGGGATAACTCACGTTACAATGAGATACCTGGCGGGTTTAGTAGACTCATAAACAGACTCATTGTCCCAGGCGCGAACGAACTGTTCCAAGATACAGAGTTCTGGGATAAACTTGTCCCGTTTGATTCCATGCGGATATATCACCGTTTGTCCACCTGGGAGGAGTGCCGAGACCCGTTGTGCTTTAGAGGGGCACAGGAATGACACCATTGCTCTGTAAGCGAGAACGGTATTGAGTTAGAGTATATCGGCGCCTAGGTACGAAGTGATGATTGATCGATGAAAAGCGGGACTGACAATTGATAATCATTGATGCTGTTTGGGAATAAGGAAGGTGCGAGTGCGAGGGAAGTTTTAAATTTGATTGGTCCCCGACGTCGATCAGCCAAAATGCCCAAATCGGGCAAAGGTCGGCAAAATCCGGAGTATCAAATACCGTAATACGCATTTGACGGTTCCAATATACACGCCACAAACAACAACAAAACATTTCAGCCACATTATCTCGAACTTGCAAGTTGAAGGTCACGGATGACTACACCGACACGATCTATGAGTTCGACCCGTCGACACTGGAAACGGATAGTGATCCCTTCTCAACGGGCACAACGTAGATGGCCAAATATCCATGTTCATGTTCATGTCCATATCCTGTTTTAGAGGGTCATTTCACGCAAACGACATGGCAAGATGATCGACAGCTGAGAACGAAAGAAGTACATTCTGTTGCCGCTGATGTGCAACCAGATGTATTTCTTTCGTATCTAGCTAGCTAATCATTTTGTTCTTTTCTTTGCAGGGAAACTTAGTCAATTGGCAAACCCTATCATAGGAAGATAACACACCAGTTGAGCGTTCCATTCGTCCCTGTATTGATATAGAGTCTGCAGCCATTCCTGCACGACAGGTTCGAGAAGTGTCATACATCTCCTAATGCTATTAGGCGTGTTCGTCAATAATCGACTCCAATGACCGTGCCGAGATCTATATATGCAACACTCCATCCGTTGGGCCTGCGCGAGGAGCATAGCCCACCCTCTTCAAAGTATGTGTTCATCTGCACTCACATATATTCTGGGTAATAGTAACATTCTCTCGAAAACTGACCCAACCCTTGAGCATTTACTTCAGTTATGCAGTCCGTGTTCTAATTCACACGAACCATTTGCAGTCTGACGCAGCCCATCGTCGCTGTGACCGAGCGAAATTGCCTGCCTTCTCTTTGCCCCATAGGTCGCCAAGACCTCCACCCACAACAGGTTCGCGACAACCTATGATCCTTCGCCGTCTTTTTCGCTTCTCTTCTCGCACACCGTATGATCAGCCTCGCGATCCATTGGATGTATGTCTCATTATCTCGTTTCTTTCACAATTAACTCGACGTTTTTTCACACTTCCCTACCACGTCGCCCCTGCCTCCCAACCGTGCTCTCTTAACGCAGGCCACAGATCACTCTAATAACGTCAGTCTTCACTTTGAATCTACTTGCAATGCACGTCTGAGACCATATCTAGTTTGAAATAAGTTCATATTCCCGCCACTCTGACGGAGTCACGCAGTTCCCGCAGCAAGGCCTTTCTTTCTGTATGTTTGGACCCCGCCACGAGCCGTTGAAGTCACAGCCGGGCGGAAATCCACTTATTGTTGCTATTTGGCTTACGTGTATCCCACAGCGTCTTGCTGCTGTCAAATTACCTGAATATAGGAAAGTCGATGATACCCGACACCGTGACCCCTGTAGACAGCAGACTGCCGGCCCGCAGGACGACCCCTCATCTGATTCGCTCCCAGACGTGCATTGGTTCAAGGCGTTCTTCTGTTATTACTCGTGCTGGTCTCATGGCAGACTGAGGATGCCTCTTCGATGGCACTTGAAGCGTGTTGACTCACCTCGCTAGTATTGCACACCTAGTACGGGTTATAATTGCAGTTTGAATTTCCTACAATTGATTGTTTCACACCGTTACACGGATTCTGATGGTGCTCGACGTCTTGTAGGTATCATTTTTTTCTGTGTATCGTCTGGAGTTATAGAACAATGATGGCGCACGGCAATTTTCTCGCAATGGTTTGCCTCTAGCTAAGGGCTACTCAGTGACTATGGAATTCATTGTTTGCAAGTTTTCTATCTCTTCTGCCAATTTCCTTTTTTCGCGCCTGACTTGCTTCTGGCAAGATATGCAGGTGGAGCTGCTCTTGTGATAGCTTCCTGGCCCTGGCGTGATTCTCGGGGGACAGGCACTTTATTGATGGATCAAAGAGCGTCATAGACTCATAGCAACAATTCGCAGGATCATCAATTCAAAGGTTGTGAAATCGTCCCAGTAGCTAATTAAGTATGGAGAATGATAAAGAATGAAAAAGGCAAGGAAAAGTGGATTATATCGAACATCGAGGTGCTCAATAAGCTGCATATCTTAGCTGACTCGTCGGAGGGAATTTGAGGGGTCAAAGATAAGCAGATACACTCCGATCACCCCGGAAGGTGCATAAGCTGTCTCCGGGATTATCATCGTCGATGCGTGATTAGATTAGTAAGGTAGGTCAGGCATAGAGGGATCAGTCACTTCTTACGAGCTTTCGCTGTCGACGAAACGCTGGTGAGACGAGGAACGTTAGCAAAATGTATGAACTTGAATTGAGGGGGAAACACTGGACAGCATGTCGATTAATGGATCATACGAAACCTCCCCGGGGCCGTGGAAAACGGAAAGGAAAATGTTGTAAGTTCTAATATCCAATGTCCAACTTCGGGCCTAGGTGTGCGTAATGAACCTACATAGGCAGAACGTTCCTGTGTAACGCAGGAGCCTTGGCCACAAGTTCCTGCACGTGATCCGAAGAACAAGGCAGCAGGGGCGCCTTAACTTAAGGGCCCATATCATACAAGGTCCCGGCCGCAGCACTGCCAGAGCAGGGACGACCTGCCAAGCGCAATGTGCATTGACACACCGGCGGTTTGGGGATTTTGCCTTGGGCAATATTTTAATCGAAATGAGAATAAATAATTAGCCATTCGCACTTTGAATTTTACTACTGGGATAACGGCAAATTGCGACTGAGGGCAAAATGCGAATGCAATACAACCCATTTTGACCAATATTTTCAGTCCGGTCTAGTATTTAAAGTTTTCCGCCGGGAAAATGACAATGCAGATATTAAACTTTGCAATCCAATTTTGTCTGAAGGAAAATACAAAATTTGAGGCGCATAAAATGGTCGGTAAAATATTATATAATGACTGACATTATATTCCCGTTGCAAGTATAAATTTTCACAATGGTAAAATTTGATTGCGAAAACAAGAAATTTTATAAATAGTAAAATGACCTGCGCATCCGGCGGGCATTCATCGCGCGCTCATAAGGAATCCATCGGGCATTGATCAGGCAGTACAACTCGGGCATTTTGGCAATTCAGAACACGCGAGAACGAAATGCTTATTTTGTGCAGTAATGGCAAGGAGTAAATACAGGCTTCCAAAGGTACTATACTAAATGTCATTGGTTGAAGGAGGCAAGATTTTCTAGATCAAGATTACTGAGGGTCTCAGCGTTACCCTCTGAATCCCTCCTACATTTCTTGCTAGCGGGTGTGAGCTGTCCCATCACGTCCTGCGAGGCGCACAGTGACTTCGTATACATACGACGTCCGTTGGGTTTGTCAATCGGATGCAGTTTTCGCAGTACAGCAGCATCCTTATCAGGCCAGCCGGGTGATTCAAGGTGTTTGTTGTAGATATCGATGACGGCCTCGTGTGATTGCAGTTTCTTCATCCCCATCTCCTTCTGGTAGGCAACCGACTCCAACAGGACTTTTTTTGCAGCATCTATAATCCTCCGCTGTACAGCCGTGGGCGCAGGCCCAGCTTCGTCGTCAAAACATCCGTCCAACGAGAGCCGCAATTGTACAAGCATCTCCTGTGCCTCAGGGGAGACCACGAAGTATCGATGCGAAAAGAACTGCGCGAGTTCAAGAACGACATTGTCGAGCGGTTTGCAGTCGACGAATATATCCCGCGGAAGATCAGTTCTTGCGATGAGCCAATTCGATTTCGCGGATCCTCCGGACCCCAGTAGCGGATCAGCATCGAAAACCTGCAATATAAACTGTGTCCGATCGACGGAACTCATGTAGCTCTCCTTGAACATCAAGGCCGTCCACAGAATGACATAGAGACTGGACTCTAGGTCATCCTCGACACCATGGACGGCGTCGATGTTTTTGACGAGGTGAGCGGACATAAACTGCCAGGTTCCCTAAGAATCAGCGAAATCAGTGCAATATGAGTTTGAGCGTGAGATGAACATACCGTACGGGTCGTCTGTCGAGGACCCTGAATAATAAGTAGCTTTGCTAAGTCCCAATCGATAAGGAACCCCTTCCCTCGGTAGATGACGATATTCCCGACGCTCAGATCTCGGTGTAATATTTTTGCATTTTCAAATGCATCGTGATGGGCTGGATAGTAGGGACATCAGATAATATGCGAGGCTTCAAGGTCAAAAATACATACCAACCAATGTGTCACGAACAGACTGAACAAGTTGACGAGAGCTCTCGAAGTCAGTTAACTTGTCACCCACGATATTGAGAACCAGGCGGTGAAGAGTGTGAGGAGTGACAGCTTGGTTAGGGCACGCCCATTTGGCGTTCCTAAACTTGACGGTCTGGGTGTTTTGCTGGGGGACAGGGTGGATTTCATTGTGGAATGCGATACATGTCGCGACATTGCGAACTTTCTTTAACTTTAATAGTCTGTAAGTTTCGCCTTCCGGGAGAACATCCTTGATCGACACGCGCCAAGAGTCCTTGAACATCACAACTGTCTTGTTGAGGATGTCAAACGCAGGGCACGTGCGAGTCCAACGGCCAACAAGCGGATAACCTTTTGCAACAGGTTGGGGAATAATGAGCGTCAACCAGCCAGAGTTTTCGTCAGCTGGATCCCGAGGGACCGCAACTTTGAACATGCGTATGGTAGGGGCAAGTTTTAACGCTGTCCTTGCGAGGGTAGCTTCTTCGTCGCTAGCTAGCGTTACGGAAGTATCGACACCACGCAGTGCAGGCGATGCTCGTGCGAAACAATAAAAGAAATCGGCCAAGTGAGGTTCGTGCTGGTAATCGAAGGCGTTCGTGACGATAGCTCCCTCCCTATCCCATCTGATGAGACGAGCACGGTTACGAATGACGAGGACGGAGAATAAATGGGTACAATATTGAGCACCGAGCTGAGCGGCAGCATAGCTCGTTATTTGACCGAGTGTATCAAATGCCTTGTCAGTCTGAGAAACAATAGGATTATCGACTCCAGGATTTTTGCTGAATGCGTCGAGAGCATCATTCCACTTGAATTCGATGTGTACTTCGGCTTTGGTGATATCACAGCCGTCAGATGTTCCATCGGCATATACGCATACGTCCGGCATGACATTGAATGTAAATGATGCGCAGTTCTTCGTATCTGCATGTTTCGAAGTGTTCACAAACGATAATTGAGGGGCGAATTCTTGCATGCCGTTAATCTGCACTTAAGACTGTCAAAAATCTCAATATTATAAGTGCGAGGTGACTTACGAATGGTTGGTAAACGTCCTGCTCTCTTTGAATTGATTGCAAGTTGAACACATCGGATTCTGAGGCCGAAGCGAAGCGCGAAGTGAAGTCCGAGATGTCATTATCTCCAGGGTTCGGTAGGAATTTGTCGATGAAGTCCTTTACCGGCATCGGGCCAATGATATAATCCTGCATCTCCTTTCCCATGGAGTTAAGCGTATTGACTCAACATCGTGACAGGGTCGTGAAGGGTAGTAATGTGGAACTTTCCCATTTGATGGGAGTGTCAGTGATAGCCAGTGACGAGGCAAGCGCAGCAGGCTGTTCTAGTATTGGTGCTGCAGCAGGGCTTATGATCCCTGTAGAGCTATCAGGGTGGACTACAGTAGCAACAGTCCCGTCAGAGCCGCCTATGTCGCGACTAAGGATCATGATATTGAATAATATAAGTATGTATGGTCAAGTGTATGTACTGGTATATGGGTATATGGTAATGGCAAAAAACCGGACCGCTTTCACAAGTGCGCGCCTACAGTAATGGTATAGTAACAGGAAAAAGGGTTACAAATACAACAAGACGAGGTTTATATAGAGAACGGAAATGGAACTCAGTCCGGATTTTCCCGGAGCGTGTATGACGTAGAGTGTATGACGTTCATCTAGTAAGGTGCATGGTAAGACGTGACTGTTCTACAAGACAAATTTGATCAAACCGCATATTGACAACGGTTGAAGGAGAAATTGCAATATCAGCTGTGTTCTTCTTGAGGTGACACTTAGCTACATTGCAAACAGAACCGCGATAAATGCCATCTAGAACAATACATTGTTGGTTCTTTTTGCGTGGGGGGGCTGGGCTAAGATCTGTAGCAGGTATATGATAGTGCTGGATTGCAGCACCTGCACCATTCGATGAGCAGAATACCGCAACACAACCCTCGGGGGCTGGTCCGTTAAGGCCGAGGAAGGGGTCAGGACAAGCTGTTGACACGAATCGATTGTGTAGCCTGCCTCGCATGAAAGAGGGCGAGACTTTCAACATTGTGTGATAGGTTGTGAATGTGTAGGAAAATTCCTTGTTCATCAGCCAAGCTAGCAGGGCTAGAATGAAATAAGTGGGAATGCTGTGACGATTTGTTGAAGAACTCACTCTCTTTCGGTTTCTCTCCTCCATCGGTGCCATCCAGCACGTCGTTGATATTGACACTCCAGGGGTCGGGCACAGCAGCCTGTGAGGGACTGAGGCTAGAAGGGTTGCCTGCCGTGACAATATCCTCAGAGCTGCTGGTCCAGGTGGTCCACGCGGATGATGCCTTGTCTATGGTGGAAGCTGACGAGCTGGAATGGATCTTTTTAGGAGGAGGGGTGACACTTCGAGGTGGTGGGGCCAAGTACGATTTTCTGCGTATCTCGCAGAAAGATAACATCTCGGTTCCTTCGAGCATGATGCCGTTCAACCTCATTCCATACCTGAATACACTTAGAATTAATTCGCACATATATGTACGTGTTGCTTACCTAGTAACAACATCCTTGAGTTGAATCGTGGTGCGCTGCTGCCCATGGATGGCAACGGTGCAAGTCTCAGATGAGAAACTGTACAGCGTGGCTCGGTAGCCCTTGCGGTCACCGCCAATAATGAAAACTTCTTGCCCGATGTCTTTTTTGAAGGAATCTAAGCTGGCATGTTGTAATTTGATCACGAATCCGATGGGCACATCGACCTGTCAGAAATCATAGTTAGACATGCACCAGGCGAATCATTAAAATTACTAACTAGTGAGTGATCAATCTCAGAGAGTAGGGTTAAGTGAGCGTTTATAAAGTCAACCCTTCGAACGACGCCTTTTGTCGTATACTCTGGACCACGGGCGACTCTCACAACATCTCCAGGCCTGACATCATAACCTCTGTCTTGCGTAAACTGCAGAGTTTGGAGGTTGGGGATTCGCTGAGCAGCTACAATGGGAACTGGAATAATCAGCGATCCATCCTGGAACCACAAATAGTTCCCTCCTTTGGAGAGCCAGCGCACGACGCCAGATTTCCCCATGTGCTCCCCAACAAGCACATTTACGGAGTCACCAATTTGAATGGCGTCAATATCAGGGGGGGGCTTGAAAAATTGCTGAGTTGGCAGCCGTGCTTGCAGGGTGTGACTAAGCGGGCGACGATCTAGGTAGTATTTGGAAACTTCTAACTGTGCGTTGTGTCAGACAGTATTTTTTTGAGAATGATGAGACATTTACCTCTTCCTTCGAGGCGTGCTGACAAAGGCGAAATGTATCATCCGTCATCTGAATAATGTGCCCTTCCACGCCCAAGTATGGACCTGCTATCACTTGAACTGTATCGCCAACCCGAAAAACGCGATCTATGTCATCTAATCGGATGTCGACTTCCTTTCGGCGACCACTCAAGGTCAACTCCAAGGTAGCTGAATTAGCAGGATGATCTGTCGAGATGACTTGACCGGTCTCTGAACTGAGGTCTCCTCTGACAATTCTAACCCAGTCGCCTGTGCGCAAGAACTGCATAGAGAACATAACCACAGTTTTCTTGAGGAAGGGTTGGCCCCACCCAGATTGTAGGTGGAGCTGAATGTCATCGGCATGAGGACAAACGACAAGTTCTAGGCGATCACAGTGAACAGTCTTGAGTAGGAGGCCCATGTAATATTTCTCTCCCTTGTATGTCCATCCTATGACTTCCTCACCGCGATTGATGTTGGAGACCGCGTCCCCATTCGGAAGGTGAGATCGGTTGAGTAGTGAGCGAGATCCCCGAGGCATGGGATAGGGAAACTCTCGTGGGGGAACCAAGACTGCGACCATATCGTTCGGTAAGTTTGAATCGAAGACTTGGGCTATGTCGCCCTTGTACTTGTCGTGCTTGAATCTCACCCACACTGGGTTGGGGAGTTTTCTACAGGACTGCTCGACCACTTGACGTTCCTCATCCGATACAATGACATATTTTTTTACGGCGAGGTAAAGTGAGAAAGGAAGGGCATCGGCGATGGTCTTAGAACTGTCCGCCACCACGTAAATCTGACCTGCTAGCCAAGCCGACACTGTGACGCGGAAGTTCTTCTTCCGAAGGTGTTGAGCAATGAAGTCTGTGACATTTCCTGTGATTGATGAGTGATGAATGATAAATTACGTCTTTAGAATGACTTATGGTGGACATGAACTAAATACATCCTCCCATCTTTCGATAGAGCCGAAGTAATCAAGTCAGATATTGGGGGAAGAGGCCGGTGATCTTGAGATGCGTTACACCGTGTATCTTCTATTCTATTGGCGAGACCATCGATAACCGCAGCGAACCTAGTGGCCGATGAGGATCTTGGCAAGCATGTAACACTCCGCGATTTGGAGCGACTCTCGTCGGCGCTATCCTCCTCCTCCTCCTCCTCCTCCTCCTCCTCCTCATTATCTTCTCCTGCGTACAAATCGAGATAGGGATTTTTTGACTGCAAATGTTATGTGAATATAGATAATGATAACGATATCAGAACATTTCACTTACTTTGGCTGGTCTGCGCGTAGGTCGAACGCGCGCCTGGGACAATTGCCTGTCCGTGACAGGATGATCTTTGGGCGCACAAGAGGCCAGAGATATGTGCTTCGCCTTTATGGCGCGAAGGTTTTCTAAGGCGATATTGTCGTCACCGTCGCCGGAGAATAACGCATCTCGGGCTTCCTTCCATTCGTCTTCAGCATATCGATCTCCCAGGTACGATAGAAAAACTTCCTCCATCTTAGGATATGTCATGTCAGTAGTGAGGAAGTCCTCCATAATTCTCCAGGCATGTTCATCGTTCAGAGGTGCTGTCTGACTCCCTGCGATACGCGTGAACAACAATATCGACAACACCTTATCATTACTTACCTTCATCGGTTCTCATGCGCTTTGCGGAAGGCGTGTCATCATCTGATGCAGCGCGTTTGGACATCGCTCTGTACTAGCTCTACATAATTAATTTAGCAGCATTACACAACGAACTTGACAAATTACACACCGTGTTCAATGAGTATGTGCCTACGAAAAGTCTACACTATGTAACGTTCGAAGTTTTGCTATGTCGTGCCTGTTATGTCGTGTCGAGGTAGTGGTAACGGAAAGAAAACCATCAAGGCGCAAGATCAGTATTTGTAGTGAACGACTAATTGTGGACTAGCTTATGTGTGGACTGTGAATACTATTATTTGCAGAATTGTGGATTTGAAACATGGAACAATGATTAGTGGACCCATGATAGCCCGGTTTTTGTTTCTGACTCTGGGCCAAGTACTGAGTGGTCCAAGTCCTGCTCGCCCGCTAACTAATAACTTACAGGGGTGCATTTGAGGCAGAATATAATGAAATAAGTAATAAGGCTCTAGTACTAGTCCATCGCCTGCTACGTATATGTACTATTCATGCTCATTGTAATTATGAGTGGGTGGTCGGAAAAGGATTTCATTTTGGCGAACGCCCACTGTAATATAGAGAATGACTATTGCAATTCAAACCCAGCTATTATGTAAACATACACATTGTGTCGTTGTGTCGGGCGCATCGGGAATTCTCCGGCGGAGTTTATAATTATGTAGTCGTTCACTATGTATAATGGCTGCCTTGTCAGCAATTAACGCCTTTCTGAACTGTTCGATTTGAATCACCCTACATCTATTGTACTGTATAGCGTCCTGTATAGCGTACTGTATCGAATTGAGTGCATTGTATGTCGTATTGACTTGATGTCATAATGTCTCAGACTTTAATCACCAACCGTTTGAGGAAGGTCAAGTATTGGCGCTTGCCCGCACATCGCATTACGATGAAAATGGTATTTCGCGCCCGCATGCATAACTTGTCTACCTATATTAATACGTTAATACAGCAACTTACATACCGAGAAGAATCACAGCCTGCGACTCGCCATGCTCCATGTTTGATGCAGTCTTTCCTCGCCTAGTGAGTAACTTATTTTCATTTGAGATAATGATCGTCTCCTCTCGGTGCTCAATATATTGCTCCACCCAGGTGTGAATATCTTCATTCGTTGGGTCGCGTGGTCGAGCCAAGTTTCGCCAGATATTTCCCAACGACTCGAATGAGATCGATGTGGTCATTGTAACACACTGCAATTGAGTAAGTCACCACCTTCGCAGTTTCATGCGAAATATGACATACGACATGGCTAACATATGCAAGCAGCGCTATTGCGATAGCTAATTGTACGATTCCGCATACAAAGTTTTTGAGAGCCTTCCCCAGTGGTGGACGTGCTGTTTCAAGATTCTCCTGTTGGCGGCTCCAGATAGAGATGACTGGCTCCGCATTGTTTTGAGATGTTGCCCCAACAATCATACTGTGGTGAGTCCCGTCATAAGTCTTATAGTCTGTCAGGCGCCGCTAACTTATGGGTAAAAATATTATCGCACTGTAACAGTCTGCACTCTCACCTTGTCGGCATGTTTCAAAACTTGCTTGAGGGTTCCTTCATTTTTATCGAAAACATATATGACGCCTGCGTCGCTGCCACCAACCACCACGTCAGTCTTTTTGCCAAACACTACTTGTTTTGGAAACATTTTGATTGGGTTGGTATTGTAGCTTCGGATGCACACTGCATCGTCCAGTCGATGCAGGCTAAATCCATTCGTCACATTGTCAATGAGGAACAGTGTTTGAGCATTGTCCACTGAAGCGTGCCCGCTTTGGTGAAATGTAAAGGAATGCCATTTTTTATCCAATGATATCACTCACATTAGGGGTCCGGCATTATTCATAGCAATTATGACTCCGTCTGTGCCCCGAAGCGCATGCCTACAAGCAAGGTATGTTAGAATCATTGTGAGGATCGCAGTATCGACCTACACCTCTCCGTCATACATCCCGAAGACTAATATATTTCGACTTGCAGTGCGGTTGAAGTTTATCGTGCGTGGAATCGTACTATTTAGCTCAATGCTGAAAACCGGAATCAATGGTCCTTTGAAATCAAATGACCAAACTTGCACACGTCTGTCCCGTGTTCCGGTAGCAATGCGAGTGTCGTCTCCAGCGTGATCATAGGTAATGCACATAATTTCTTTACCTGTGCCGATTCTTCTTGACACTTTGGCGTCAAAGTCCTCTATACCTTCGCCTTGCTGCTGCCAGATTCCGATGAATCCTAGTCCTGTGCCATAGCACAATGTCTCGCGTACCGCCTCTTGGCGGGTGATCCAGCATGCACATGTCACGGGATCGACTGGATTTTGAAGACCCATGTTTTGGCGTGGAGATGGGAGTTGAAGTCGCCGTTTGAGGTCCCAAATTCTCATGCCATCTGAGCCTATTTCCTAGTAGGTCTATGTGTGAAATTGACGCATTTACAAGAACTTACCACCGCTTGCCAACAGACTGCCATTGTTCGAGATAGTCAAACAATTGATGGTGTTCTTGTGCCCAATCAGGCGCCCTTCAAGGCGATATTCCTTGCAAGCTTTAGCAGGCATAAAAAACATTGGTGGTTACGATGTAAGTTGATTTCTATTTTTCGGATGTCTTTAATGGGTGACCGTATACAATAGTCGGACTGTATATCTACAAACACTTGGTGACAACAGGCAACCCATGACAACATCTTCCTGGTAAAATGGAAGGTAGAAATCCTCGAAGCGAAGCGAAACTACATTAACACTACTAATTATAACTTTGTTCTCTAGCGGCGGGCGCTGAGCGCTGATTTCCCGATCAAGGATGCTTCCAAACGGCAGTGATAAGACATTCCGAATGTGTAAGTTTGAACCAGTCCAGCATGCCTCATACCTGTGTACATGTCCCCCCGTTCTATCAGGCGGATGGTCCCCCGCAGCAACTTCCATTATTGACATATCACACAGAGATACTCTATCCGACAGCATCATTCATCTTAATCTCTCCGCAAGAAGAGATAGCATTCTCTACCCATACACTTCGCGGACGCACTCGAGCCCCATCGCGAGTCTTCACAACTTCAACCCTACCAGTCCCCGCTGGCCCCCCTACTCCCAAACTCGTCACCTCTCGCTCCCCTACTCCCAAATTCACCAAGGCGGTCTCTTTTTCAGCAGACCAAATTTCCGGGAATGGCGAGTCGGTAAAGATGTCAATGTACTCCTCTTCCATTTTATCAATGGACTCCAACGACTCCAAAATCCCCAAACCAGACGGCGAAGCAGGGCGCCCGGCTCGTGGGGGATACAACCTGGAAAGGGCACTCAACTGGGATTCTAGTCAATTCAAGTTGTTAAGGGTGAGGTCTATGCTTTCGAACCAATCTCATATTCATACCCACGATAGGACTTTGTCCACCGATCGATCGACAAACATTGCGACACTAGCAAGAGCAAGTCAAGCCAAATGCCTGCAGCACTGAATTCTGTTGAGACAGAGGTATGTCTGTGGGTTCTACAATTGTATTTACTGACCTCTATTCAGGCCGTCGTTCAATTTCCGGAATTGAATGACTATATGGGGCGCTGGCCAGTGGGAGATCTTATACAAATGCAATTGAAAAATCTTTCTGCTAAGGAGCGACAAAGGCACGCGAAGAAGAATAATAGCCACAAGTAGACCGAGCATCACAATTGAGCATCACAATTGAGTGATTCCATGGAACGTGTATCTCAAATAGTTCGATTTAATCAATCGAATGAGTCCGAACTTCTGTTAACAAGGTAGTAACCTCTTTCACACCTATAACCTCCGTGATACCGGACATTGGGTGATCCCTCATTGAGGCGAGTATTTTTTTAAGATAAATTGTTCAAACGCTGAGTGAGACTTGACAAGATGTCCCGTTTAATAGCTTTGTTTTCCCCACATTCCGATGGGGAATTGATCAATGTCGAATCTCACCCGCTCCAGGAATTACGTCCTGTGCACACATATCCACCTGCATCTCAGCCCACTACCTCTGCGATAATCCACACTTACCCGCCCGAGCCTACCCCGACCAATGAGGACTTTAGGATGAGTATGAGAGAGGAGGAGGAAGAGGAGGAAGAGGAGGAAGAGGAGGGTGTCAGGCTTTCGCTACGGATGAGAGAAGAAGAAGAGGAGGAGGAGGAGGAGGAGGAGGAGGATCAGCATGACAACCCTTTGGTGCACTGTAGGATGAGAGAGGAGGACGATCAGCGTGTCAGCCTTTTGGTACCTCAGTTTGTATCTCTGAGCTAACGTTTACTTAGCCCACCAAAGTTGTTCTCAAGGAAATTGATCAGTCATCCAAGCTGCGTGATGATGTACGTGAGCTATGTTATAGCCACCATGAGCTTTTGGTTCGAAAGCGCAACATGCAGGTAAGGCAATATTTCGCAAAATATATTCATGTCTCACTCGCCTCCAGACCAACGCTCATTACCGCGAACTGGAGATGCGATCAATCGCTGACCAGTATCGTGACAAGAACGGACATCTTGAGCTCGAGAAAGTTGAGGCCCTCGCCTCATTGGAACAGCAGCACCGCAGTGAAGTCTCGTTGATCCAGGTAGGAGATCCCTAATTTTACAAGTTGGACTTGTCGTGATTTCTATTGACAGAACCGAATGGCACTTAACATTGAAGAGGTGCAACATGCCGCACGCGCGGAACGAGATCTCTTATTAGATGCCGCACGCGCGGAACGAGATAACTTATTAGCAGAGAAAGATGCTTTACATCAACGCGAGACTCTCTTAGCAAGGCAGAAACTGATTCAGAATGAAAGGGAATTAGCCCGCCTGACTGCTGGTTATGATTCCAAAATCGCTTCATTAGATGTGCGTCTCGAGAGTGTTAGTATAAAGAACTCTAACAATTTCCGTAGAATCAAATTCGACAGGCAAAAACTATCACGCCTGCGTTGCCTCCTTCATGGCGTCATGTTGTAGGCAAAAAACCAGTTGCTACCTGCACTAACATCATCGGGTTTTCGCCAGTAAGTCAACGTCTGTATTACACCTCTGTATCATCCTACTCATCGTTTTCCAGATTCCTGATGTACTCTCAGAATCCCCTGTTGACGAACCTATCATCACTGATAATAGCAAGGATGGACTTCGCTTAACTTCACTTTTGAATCTTCCTATCGAAGACGCCACGGTCGGAATGCTCGCTGAGGCGCTCGCGAAGGCTCTCCAGTGTCAACAAACATCCCCTAGTAGACCTCGCTCGAGACGTAAAATCCCTGAACCCTCTGGAATATTTTACCGATGATCAGCATCGAGAAAACAAGGTGAGAGACTCGCCGTTTGAAACGGCTTTGCTAATCAAACCTCAGGCGAATGTGCGAGATTTATTTAAGGAGACATTCCATCTCACAAAAGATGATGAGTACATGCTTTACGAGGGAGCAGCGCGCGAAGCCGTATCGCTTTTCGTAGGCGGCATAGGCCCCGGTCCTGACCCGCTTGCGTTGCAGTGGGATATGACGGCCACGCACAAGTCGGATTGGAATCAAAAGGTCATCGATCACCTCTGTTCCCTGTATATGACCATGCAGGAGAGCAACCGCTGGACCGGGCGATCTCAGCAGTCAATCAGACGTGATATCACCCTTAAATTCGATCAATGCCGCAAGTGCTGGAGAAAAGCCCGTCCTCAGGTCGCCAGTGATGGCACTCACGAGACTATGCAACAAGTGGGAGATCGCCTGGTGGATCACACGAACGAGCGGTTACGGATAGCTAGGGTCCTATCTCGTAGAACAACAGTAAGTCGTTTGCATGTGTCCCTTGTAGAATGGACAGATTTTAACTTGTTTTTTTTTAGAAATTTGAAACCCGCCGGAAGGTCACGTCAGCCCTGCTCAGTGACCGGAAAGCGAGCCGAAAGGACGATTTACCTGTGTGGGTATATTTGAACTCCATCGTGGAGACTCTGGATAAAGACGGAATGAGCTCTGATGAGAGCGAGACTGAAGACTGCGGACTCCCAGTCTTTCGGCTCAAGACGATGCCGTGGAGAGCTGATTTCAGTCATGAAATGAAAATCATCGACGAACAGCGTTTAGCGGGGGCAGCTGTCTTCACTCCCAGGGGAAGTAAGCCCGCAAAGCGTCTTCACAATGCCAAGCGGGAGTCTGTTTGGCCAGCAGTCGCAGGTTTGCCTAGATTATTCTACAATTTATCGTGGTTGAGCGACCAACGTCCGTCGTTCAAGGTATCTAATGAAAAGTTCCAGAGAATTGAAATTATGGTTTCACGCAGGTGATCCCGGATTGTTTCCTTTTCTGTACTGCTGTTCGTGTTTGTACCTTGTACCTTGTATCAACCTTGCACCGCACCTGTACCACCTGTAACCTGTACTATGTACTATAAACTATCATGGCTTTGATATAGCGCGCTCCCTCTCTCATTAAATACATATGTAAGTCATCTAGTCATATGTGGTGCAACCTGCACTAATTTACATCATTATCAGCTTTCTTTTCGGTTTCCATTTGGTATTGACAGTTTCCACCATTACACTTACAAATTCGTCATTCACTACAAATACCGATTCCGGACTTCATGGTTTTCTTTCCGCTACGCACGACATGTATATGATACAGCAAGCTTGCGCAGTCACTTAAGTTGTCAACATCTCAGTTGGATACCCTCCTGGCATTCCAGCAAGTGAACCTAATGCGCGTTCATGGGAGATTGCAGTACATCAAGGTCTGTCGACGCACCTGGCTTATTTCTTAATCCCAAAGTTTCTGATTTCTCCCTTAGAATTGTTCCGAGGGAAAACAATCTGCAAATCGTACGTGTTATGTTGCATGGATCATCGTCATCTTCTAACTAACAAATCAATCAACATTACTGCGATATTAATTATTGCCTCACATCTTGTTTGCCGTCGTACTTTTGCGTTTCTCTCCACCTTTGGAGCCATCCGACATAATATTGTCTATCTCTATGCCCTCCAATGCACCCTCCAATGCTGCGCACTGATACGCCTCCGCAAGAGGTCAGTAGTCGGATGACCCGCCTTACAGTGACGTTCAATACATTTGCTGATGACCTTCTCTAGACTGCGCATAAGTTGCTTTTCTTCGAGACACATGTCCCACAGCTTGACGGTCATTGGCACATTGGACGTGATTAGCGCCTGAAACACCATGATGTTAGTCCATGAGCTTGTTATCATATCATAATTATACTAACGTTACTGGCCACTATATCAAGTCTTGTATCGGGAACGGACACGTCCCGTGGGCGAATTGGGTTCGTCGATGACCATGGCGGATCCCATCCACAACTGGGAAGGTTCATGTCAGTGTTCGATGACGAACTCTCATATCTTTCATCTACTTACTGCATCTTCTAGGTGAACCTCGTAATTCTCGATATACATAGCGAGTCTCCTCACTAGAGTGCTGTGGTTGGTTTTCTTGATGTACCATGTCTCACGAAGGGTCGAATGTAGGGATTGAAGCGTTTGCGATGAGCTGCAGCGGTTTTGCTGCGAGGTGATGCGGACGACATAGTGAGTTATCAGATACACCTTTCGTGTCGCTCTTAAGTCAGGCCCTGCAGTTGTTACGGTTTCTGGGCTATATCACCGCATGAGTTTCAATTGTGCTTCTTCCTACTCGCTTCCGTAAGTAGTCGTACTTTTACAAGGTAACGATCATGATCATGATTTATCATTGTCAGAACCTTCTGGTTATTCCCTCTGCAAGTGATTAAATCTCTGGTATATCCCCTCTTTTTAAACAAAGTCTTTCTGTTTTATCCCTCGTCATGGATCGATCATTACGTTCGCCCTTTTGGGTCCAAACAATAAACCTCTGCGCTCAGACTTCGAGTCATTTAAAGCAGGGAGCAGGTGTAGATTACCTTCAAACATTTTACGATGGGAAACTCGATAAGTCACATCTCTGGTCGACAATCTGGCATGGTGAGGCTTATCAAATATGTAGGCTTATAGGCTTTCACTGACCCCTGTTTGACAGAACGTTAGCACTAGTCCGCAGGATACTGCGCAATCCTCGAAGCGTAACATTGAGTTTGATGATTCGGCATCCCCTCGAAAGCGACGTCTCCTGGAATCCTATTCCACGGGTGATCCACCAGGTTATTGCTACACAGCTACAACCCTCAACTATATATCGTTGTCACACCGACTTTACGAACCCCGTAGCCAAGTGTTTGTACAGGGAGGCGGTATGCAAAGACTTGCCGTATATATTGTGCTCTACTGATCTCGATTGCAGTCTGACGTTTTCTTGAAGCGCAAAGCGGATATCAACTCGATCCCTTCTCAATGAAGCGTGTAAAACTTTATGAACCTTGAAACACCACGGCGTTTATTTGGTCCCTGCCTGCGGAAATTCTTGTTCTTAGTTGCTCTTCTGGGAGCACGGGATATGCGCTGTGTAGCACAAGTTTGTTCTCTATTGAGAGAAATTGCCGGACCGCTCTTCTTCTCCAACCAGAACTTTCCAACTTCCCCAAAGGACCTGTTTCACATCCGTGTAGATTCTCCCAGCTTTGACATTTTGTCTACTTGGATACGGATGGATGCCTTCCGTCCCCCACGTATGATGTTATGTTGGTTGAATCTGATTGCGAGCTTCGCAGCTATCTGCGTTTTTGCACTTCCTCCAATCCATCCCTCACAAATCGATACAATACATCACACTTTTCTGGAATTTCGACATCCTCGCTTGCCAATTCTCCCCCAAATCCTTACATTCCTCGAGAACATCCGTGCCTCTGGCTGCAAAGAACTGATGTGCATGGGGTTTTACCATTTCGTCGGCTCATCAGGCGTCACCAGACTCACCCGAATGCACGGGCACATGGGTGTGAATCACCTCAAAGCATTTGAGGCATCCTCAGGGGTGTTATTTTCCCCAGAGTTCTTTCCTTTCACGATCCAGACTATCTGTTCTTCCAATTTGGAGAAGCTTGACTTAGCTACATCAAACTCAGCTCTGCACACTGGGAGAAACTCATGTGGTACTTGACCATCTTAGCGCTCGTCGAACTCCGAGTTGACGCTGATTGCGCACCATCTACTCTTATTCGTTTTCTGGCCCGCCACCCTGCTATCCATACACTCTGTATCGTTCCGCGACCTTGTGGTACCTGGAGGACCAATCGAATCACAGCTCGTTTGACGCTCCCTATATCTAAGCTAGATGGACCTTTGTCCCATATCCTTCCAGTCCTTCGGAGTCTCCGTACACTGCCCACCCTCACTTGCCTTGCACTTTCATTGCAAGCTCATGACGCATCACCTGACTATCTTAGCTCAGTTTTACAATGTGTCAACCATTGTGAGAGTGTCGAATATCTCTTCATTTCTCTACCTTCACAGATTCACTCCCATTCGGCAATGATTTGGCCAAGCACCCATTCAGCAGTGCGCGTCAAACACTTGGCTTCGACTCTTCAGACATTGTAAGGACATCCCTTCCTTTTGCAGAAGATACACTGGTATGTGTTTGTTTGAGCACTGTTTCAATACTCATCGTGGCCACAGGCATTGTCAGCGCAGTGGATTCAAGCCTTCCCTGAAGTCAAACGTGTTAGTATGCGAGGTTACTCCGCCCTCGCTGCGGAGATCTTGTTGATATTGTGCGCAAAGTTGTTGCTGCTGATGTCGAACTATCTGTGACATTGCATAATTGAGTGGGCGCTGAGTGAAGTGGGCGCTGGGTGTTAAGTTTTGCACTGTACGTTATATGTCGAAAATTTCTCTCATACAGCTTCACGAGTCTACTTTCCTTTTTTACCATTTACTTTGCGAAATCACTATCGCAACTGGCTCGATTCAGTTTGCAGTTTGCACTCGCATGATCAGCAGTGTTGCACTGTGTGCCTGCTGAGCCTGAATTTTTGGCAGAGTTTAATAATGGTAGTCATTCACTACATATGCGTTCCTTCCACCTAATTTGGCTCCCTTAGCTCTCTTCTTGACTACTCGTTACAATTCGCTACAGTTACAGTCAAGTTACAGTTGTATTTTTTCATTAGAACATAGTAGAATAGTTCATATATATAGATTTACAAGACTCGATCAATGACAAATGACATAGTTGGCGGGGAAAAACTCCGAGAAAACCCGAGCTGGGGATGCTGAGGCCAAGGCTTCGTCGTCCGCTTAATCGAATAGTCGTAAGCATTAATATTAATTTATACCTGTTCAGCAATGCCCCAACTCAACTGTGTTCTAGTTGCCTCATGTTATCCACCGCTCAGAGATGAGCGCGCACAAGCGGGCGCTGAGCGGCATTATCAGAAGTCTCCAAGGCGATCGAACATTGTACTTTGGCAAGTACACCCTGTGCCTTCTGATTCTAAGATTCTCACTCCTTTTTTCCAGTACATAACCCTTCGTCAACACACCATCTATCTTATCAAGAGGTAAGATCAGCAATGGCTTCAAATCATCATCTAATGTTCATTTAGATGCCTAGCCGAACTTTCCTTTGCAAATGCGCTCAATGCTGCGATGTCGGAGTGGATGGTGTGCCCAGAAATGTGGTGGCAGAGACTTGCCCATCACCATAAAGCAAGTACATCTAGCGCACGCGGCTAACATGGCGACCTCATCTGAACGTACAAGCTCCATACTTCATCTCCCCGTCAAACTCTTCATCCCAGCCTAGATCGCGAAACACCGTCCTCAATATTTCCAAGGCGAGCACCCAACACATCAGTCCGAGATGTCACACCGGTGGACGATCTCGCCGCCGAACTATTTGCTATGACCTTAACCGATAATGAAGCCATTCAGATGGTCACCACAAATTGTGGGTTTCGCATTCGGAAGTCCAACGAGGCAAGGCAAATGCCCACCTGGATGCTGAACTCACTGGCAACGACACGTGAGTCCAATACATATATCACACGTCACTGTACTTACTTCATTTCAAAGACATATCACCCGCGTCCTGCAGGCTGCTGAGATGCAGCGCTGGTCAAGGGCTGAAGTGCTTTGGACGTAATGGAGTCGAATGGAAAGGATTCGCACCCGCTTTCCCTTTCAACATCTCGTGATGTATTGTGCTCCATCCGTGATGAGCTGTCTGTGATGATCCGGGCCCTTGCAAAAGTGAAAAACAAGGTATCCTCCACCATCTCGCAGGACTCAGCTAGAGACGTCGTGTGATGAAATGCAAAAATTCTTCTCAGCAAGGAAGATGGGCTTCCCATGTCGTCTGTCAGTCGTCGAATTTGATTCCTGTGAGTTTTGTTTATTCCGCATTCTGCTTGTCCCGCTAGCATCAGACGCAGCACATCATTACAATCGCCCATTGATTACTGCGACGAGATCGCCCAGGTATCCCTTTTCCTAGGAGCTGTGTCTGTCGTCATTTTGCATTGGTGCAGACACGGGGAGTTTCTGATGGGCGTTCTTTCACTCATCTTGAGCCTTGCCATGGATAGCCCAGACCCTCATTCAAAGTCTCGTGGTCAAAACATACATTCTCAAATCCCCCGAACGATGGAGGCTGCCCTTTCACTTCAAGCTTGACGGCCAGACCACCACCTACACGTCTGTCCTTGTGCAATTGCACGTTCAAACCGAGGGCCAATTTGACTCAAGTAGTGCGCGCTATCCCCTCAATTGTTCTAACAGACCGAAGCCAGAGGATGCACCTTGTGGCGAATCGTTACTGCAGCGCTCCTCTAATGGGCAACTGAAACCAATAAAATCATTTGTTTATCATCACTTCCATGACTACCTCGCTGGACTGCTGTCTCGTCCGACCTGGAAGCTATAATGGACACACCATGTGATAATTTGCTAGCTTCACTTGGGAGCGTGCCGCATATCATCAAAGATGTCTGGGACGCCGACTTTTTCGCAATTTCAAGGGTCCGACCAATCATTATTTATCGATAGAGGCATCGAAGGTCGATTCGCTTTCACGCTCAACGTTGATTTCTTCAACATCGAAGGCAATCCAGCGGAGCGCATCGACTTCCACAGGAATAATCTCTTGCGCGTGCTTGAACCTCCCCCTCGATATCCGGTATAAGCCAGAAAACATGTACTTGGCCGGAATATTCCAGGACCTTCGGAACCCTCAGGAGATCAGTTGAACCACTTCCTTGATCCGTTGTTGACGACTTCGTAGAAAGTTGGGAATGTGGGATACGTTTCTCCCGCACAGCTCTACAGGCGCATGGTCGGGTCACGTGCAGCATCATAGCATGTCTAGTGTGCGACCTTCCAGCAGCGAGAAAGGCGCTCAGCTAGCTGGTCCAACAAGCCACTTTTATTGCACTGCGTGTCATTGTTTTCACAGATCGACTTGTGGTAGAACAGATGTTCATTCTACAGATTGGGTTCTTGGGACAAGAACGAAATGCGTCGCCTTGCTGAGCTGTGGAAGAATGCTAGCACTTCTGCTGAGCGCAACAAGTTATTTTCATTACACGGGTGCGATGGTCAACGCTTTGGAGACTCTCTTATTGGGATCCCTCTCATCAAGTCGTGTTGACACTATGCATTGTCTACTCGAGGGTCTCGCGCACGATCATTTCCGGGAATTTTTGGGTCTTACAGCTGATTCAGCGCAGCGAAAGACTGATTCTCTGCCTGCTTTCCATCATCCTTTTCCCGACGTCGATCTCCACAAGCCTGAAGATTTCTGTGAGAAAGATGTCAAGAATATCAAGTACATTCGCGGCCTCCTTACCGCAGCGATTCCTGACCTCGAGGGCAATGACACTGAACTCATCGAGTCCACATGACTGAGTTGGAGAAGAAGCTTTCTTGAAGAAGGTCGCATACCTTCAGTTCGTGGCAGCAGAACTGGGCATTGGGCCAGACGTTGCACACCTGGAAAGAAGGTTTACAAGGTTCACTGGGTAAGGTCACTTATTACTTGGGTGTGTCGTTTTCTAGTCTTCGTGCACACCTTCTCAAACTGCCGCTTCACTTGCCTTTATAGCGTGAACAAAGCCTTTTATTATTGAATTGCCGAGATTGCGCATCAGTACCCCTGAAGTCATGCAACGCATCGTCGATGTTATTCGAACGACAGATACGCCATCTTCATTACGATCAGTCCCATACAACTTCGGAGAAGCCAGAGCTGGATCCCTGAAAGCAGACGAATGGCGCACGTTGACGACTGTGTACTTACCCATAGCTGGTCAGTTTATGGGGTGAAGGATCTCAACATCGAACCTCAGAAGTTTCAGCCAATCGTCGTGCCATCCTCGATCACACCATGTCCCTGGTCTCTGCAGTTCACATTGCATGTCTGCGATTTATGACAGCCGCTCGAGCACAAGCGTATCACGGATACATTGTGGCATGGATACGAGACTTACAGGTTTTACATCCCCATGCACCCCATCGTACTAATGGTCACATGGCATTGCAGTCTGGGACTATCTGCAGCTCTTCGGTCCTGTTCGGTCATGGTGGTGCTTCCCATATGAGCGCCTCATCGGACAGCTGCAGCGTTTGCCAATTAACCACATTTTTGGTGACAGTTTCACCTTTTTTTCGTACGAACCTTCTAACGCTAGTTCTGATAAAGGTCAGCAAGAATCAACGCTCCTTTCCTCACATCAAGGCTGCGAAGTTGAAGCACTGGCTGAACCGGCCTTCCTGCCCTCCGGTATTCAGAGATGTAAAATCTTTATTTGACAGATTTGTTTCTCCCACAGTCGACGCCATAATTGAAGATTCCCTAGTACCTACTACACCAAATGAAGATATTCCGGCAGACCTCCGATCTCTCATTAAGGTCAAGCGAGCCGTCCTGCATGCCCGCGTAACTTACAAGGGATCAATCTACACTCGTGAATCCACTCATGTGGGAAACAGCCTGGTTCTCTACTATCCTGACGGCGTTATGCACACGCAAATACCAGGAACCATTAGATACATTTTCAGGACCAAGGATGGATTGGGCTTTGCTGTGCAGCACCACCTCCCGCTGCACTCTTACCCAGACCCTTTTCGCCATTATCCTTACTTCCCGGCTCAATTACATTCGTCATCGCGCGCTGATCACCTTGAGGTCGTCAGGCCTGAGTGGGTAGTGTCGCACTTCGCACGGTGGAACTTTTCTCCACAACACATCGTTGCCGTGTCTCTGTGTCCTGTGCGTGTCCCTTTCTCTCTGACACGTTTCAACGGTCTCACAAATTAATAGGATTGAGTTCTTGGCAGAACACGAAAAGAAGTCAATGTGCTCTAATAAATAGTCTTCCGCGGTGCAGATTTTGTGTATGGAAGTATCGTGAAGCCTGACAACAATGCGAGCTGATGTTCTGTATAGATATGCAGTTTCTTTATGTTTCTGATCGCGTTAAGTCTCGCAGAGATTTGTAGCACGTAGTAAGCAAGTCATTGTACCTTGCGCATAGCCCAACAATGGGAGGACTTTACTTTTGGGTTTGCAAAATGAAACCAGACATGCCTATCCTTGGCTGTAAGTGTTATTCGACATCTGCTGCTCTTGAGGAGCCGAAGACAAATCCTGAAGAACCCAAGGGCCAGCAACTGGACAAGACGACACTAGAGCCACCCGCACCGTCAGCTGCTGAGGAGCAGAGTGGCAGCACCCCTCCAGAAGGACCCAAAGAGTCAAAGAAGGAGGTGAAGAAGCAGGATTCGATACCAAAGGAGGACAAATCGAAAGCGCCTCCTCCTGCGCCAAAGGTCCCTGGTAATCGGGGCGAGACAAGAGTAAGCAGCATTTTTATTCCTGCTTTGTCAATGTTGACGTGCTTCGGCCCTTAGGTTAAGATGAACCGTATGCGCCTGCGCATTGCGGAGCGTTTGAAGGAATCACAAAATGTATTCAATGGCTATGGCGTATACTGGCGATGTCTGGTGGGTGCTTGTCCTAAATATTCTCTAAACCCAACAGGCGCTTGATCTCATTCAACTCCTCCCATAGCCGAATCACCGCCTCACGCCTATCCTCCACCATCAATGCAAGCAGGCATTTGTCGCGGCGCGACATCTGGATGGGCGGGTGAGCGGGGCGAGGCGCCTCTGGATGAGCATACGCGAATTCCGTCCTGTCTTGTGCGATCTCCTGTGCGTAGTCCCATAACATCTAGATATATCAGAATTTGCTAACGGAGATGACCAACAGTTGGACTTACCATCGCGGATCGTGTAACGGCAAAGGTCTCGGCACGCCCTTCCTCTACCCCAGCCTGCTCCTCTGCCCCAGCCTGCTCCTCCATCTCCCCAACCTCCCCATCTAAAGACTGATGTATCGTTAGCTAACTCACCCCACTTACACTGCCGTAGAACGTACATTATCATCTTGAATGTCAACTTCCTGCAGAAACGCGTCAGAACTTTAAATGCAACGATCAGCTACAACTCACATGTTCGTGCACATCAGCCATGATTGTCGTGGTAAGACGAAAGTGTGGTAAGATGAGTGTTTGCTTATGATAACTAAATCTCTGAAGTCAGCAAGATGATGCGTTGCGCTTTCAATGAATGAATACCTGCAGTCACTTCGTGACGCAGTGTCACACTCACACTCACATATCGACGCTGATCTATTCTACATACATAAGTGTAGACTACTTTTTGGCGCGGTGAATGCTCAGCGCTCAGTGAGCGCCCAATGAATGTGCAGTGATCGCCCAATGAATGCCCATTAAATTTCACAATTAAATTAACTTTGCATTTTCCCGGCGCATTTCAACGTTGGGCAAATTTTAACTTTCCTGGGGTGGCAAAGCGCCAGCTATTATGTAATATTTTTGGAACATTTTGCTGCGCATCAAAATTTTGGATTTATCTGTGGGTAAATGTAAATAAACAAGTTAATATTTCGACCAATATCTTTCGAAAAGGAAAAAATTCGAATTTTTCAAACACTTAAATTGGTGTCGAAATGGGTTATTATGCATCGGCATTTTCCCCTCAGTCGCAATTTGCCCTTGTTCCAGTAGTGAAATTCAAAGTGTAAATGGCTAATTAATCATTCTCATTTCGATTAAAATATTGCCCAAGGCGAAATCCCCAAACCGCCGGTGTGTGGGCCTCACATCTAAGAATTTCTCTTCTTCCTAACAACCTCTTGGTAACATCAAACCCTCATCTGAACTTCCAGCAACTGACGATCAGCTCCAAGTCTAGGACGCAAAGTGCTCTTGGCTGAGTTGGGGATCTCAAAAACTACTACTATCAACGGTAGGCCTGCAGCATACGAGGAGATCTTACCGCCACTCCTTCAGACGCATTTAAATAGTCCATCCCCAGCAAGCTGGTTACTTGCCAATCTCGCTTGCAAAAATAGGTCATGGCATCTACATCGACGCGGCCTCCAGCTTTGGCGACCAATATGAGTTTGACACCGCTAATGACATTGAAGGGTCATGAACAGGGTGTTTCATCCATGTCCTACTTCCCAGATGGCAAGCAGATCATCAGCGGATCTCGGGACAAGACCGCTCGAAGATGGGATTTACAGGAGGGTAAAGAGATTACAAAGGCGCGGAATGTTTGTGAAGAGGGCGTGTATGCGGTGACGGTATCAAGGGATGGTCGATATGTTACTACTGGTGGTGGGGAGATTGACACTGGGGAGCTTAAAGCCTGTGAAGTTGAGACGGGGATCGTGAAAAAATTTCGAGGCCACTCACAGAGGGTTGCCTGTATTGATATCTCCGCAGATAGCACGCTGCTGGCGAGCGGATCATGGGATACTACAGCGCGAATATGGAGCTTGGACACCGGTAAACTCGTCGCTGGTCCATTCGCGATCGTTGATTGGCCGGGCGCAGTTCTATTTTCACCAGACTCGCAGAAGCTCGCAGTGAAGTCAGAGGTGGGGACCTGCCTTGAGGTCTGGGATATTCACACAGAGACTTTGGACATCAGAGCAGGTCAATCTGGCGGCAATTCGAACATGACATTTGCGCCAGTGTTTTGGACCAACAAAAATAAAACCATCATAGCAGCATGCAACTTCACGGATAATGACGAAGCTATAACGATCAACGAGTTCGACGCGTTGACGCTGGAGATTGTCGGAGTTCCCTTCGAAGGCCATACCAAATGTGTCACGATCTAGCACTTTCATTTGGCGGTGCTCTCCTCGCCAGCGCTTCCCAGGATCATAGCATCAAACTGTGGGCCTTCGAGTCTCGCCA